CAAAATTAAATTCATCGTATCTAAAAAAATATATAAATAAATCTACAAAAACAACAGTTGATAATATCCAGAAGGTACCTGGGGCAATGCTGGATTTCGGGGCTGAAGCAATTGGACTAGTCTCATCAGTTTTGACTTTATTCATAAATTTTCTTGTGTCTGGATGACAGACTAGCCACCTTTCATCATCAATACACAAAGTCTTTCTGAAATCCATCAAGTGTAACTTAACATCTTTTTAATTTCCTACACACAAAGTCCTCGCTCTAACCCACTCAGCCACCACGGCTTCCATAAAAATGGAAGACTGACACATAGTTGCCTATATCACATACTTTGTTTTACCATCTGAATGCTCGAAACCGAAAGCCATGAAGACACCATGTTTTTTAGAAAATGGTCAAATGTAAGATGCGTTTTGTTTGGGTTGTTTTTCTCAGGAAATACCAATTTCTTGTACTTTGGTGGGTGGGGTGGGTGGTGGGGTTTTTTAAATCCCAACCGGATTTCGAACCTACACTCTCGGTTTCGTTTGGTTGCTGTTTAACGCCGCACTCAAGCAACATTCCAGCTATATGACAGCGGTCTGTAAATAATCCTGTCTGTACCAGACAATCTAGTGATCAACAGAATGAGCATCGTTCTACGCAATTGGGATACTATGACATGTGCCAACCAAGTCAGTGAGCCTCTTAGTTAGTCGCCTCTTACGACAAGCATGAGTTACTGAAGACCGATTCTAACCTGGATCTTCAAGGGCTACACTCTCGGAGTAACTCACCAACTCGCCAGCACACAAAGTCAGCTTTCTAACCCACTCTAGGTACTAGAGTGTGTTCTATTTCGTAAATTTTAATTCGTCTTGGTGTATCAAAACAATTCTTGCATTACTTAACCAGCCTTTGTTTATGGCGAAACCTGGACTGTGAAAAGCTTAGTGGTAAGCGAAATCTATCTTTCTGTTCAAAATGAATAGAAACTGCATGCTTAATGTATATCTCTGTAAGCACACGAGAAGTGTTAAAATCATAAGCTGATTATAAAATATGCTCGACATTGTACAGAAATTAACGATCGTAACATCGAAATCATTCCTCTTGTTAGAGAAGCTGCCATCCTTCAAGGGCCTGTGCACAGCTCCTGATGATGTCATACAGCGTCGCTTTCGTGTTTACAGCATGTTGAAACAGATTTACATAACGTAGAGACATAAATACATATAAGGTTAAAAGCTGATCATTAAAATAAAATCCTTATCTACTTGCACAGTTTGTGCACAGAGGTCTCACAATAATATATTTATTGGAGAAGTAATGGTCACGGCTTGGCCGGTCAGTCCTTTGTGATGCTGTCCGCCATTAAGGATTGATGACTGACACTCCAAGTGAATCCCAGCTTCAGAAAAGATTGTCCATCTTGTTAAAGTCGATTTATTCATGTCCATTCAACAGCAATGAAACAATAGAATAGCAGGGCTTAGCAGGTTTTCGTCTAGACTGACACCTAGGCAGAATTGAATTTATCTTCTTAAAGAGGGCCCTAGTCAAAATGGCCACACGTCAAAATGGCCATAAAACATCCAGGTCAAAATGGCCACACAAAAAACAGTCAAAATGGCCACAAAACCCTAGTCAAAATTATATGGCCATACCAAAAGGTTAAAAGTTAAAATGGCCATACATTATTTTTTTAATTTTTAATACTCATAACATTTTCCCAAGTCGTATTATTTGATATCAAGGTGTAAAAATGACAAAAGAGGTTATATCAGACAAAATTTGATGTTTATTACACATCAACAAATCATATTTTCAACAAATAACAAGACATATATATGTAAGTTCTTTCTTCATGTACATGCACTTCTGTACCATTTACTAATACACGACATCCATGTAGATCGTAGATCAGTTACATCAAGTCAGAAACAGTTCTCCTCCTGGAACTGGGTTGTCACCTACAACCTCGTCGCTCACCTTTTCAGCAATGGACTCCAGACTCCTGTAGATTTAACAGCCATATTAGAGGGAAGTGATATCCAGAAAAGTTCTTTCAAACATATCGAATAATACAACATGAGAAAATGCTATGAGTATTAAATTAAAAAAAAATAATGTATGGCCATTTTGACTTTTTCTATGGTCATTTTGACTTTTTCTATGGTCATTTTGACTTTTTCTATGGCCATTTTGACTTTTTCTATGGTCATTTTGACTTTTTCTATGGCCATTTTGACTTTTTCTATGGTCATTTTGACTTTTTCTATGGCCATTTTGACTTTTTCTATGGCCATTTTGACTTTTTCTATGGTCATTTTGACTTTTCTATGGCCATTTTGACTAGGGGTTGTGGCCATTTTGACTTTATTGTGTGGCCATTTTGACTAGGGTCATTGTGGCCATTGTTTCGGGTGGCCATTTTGACCTGTTCCCACTTAAGATGTATATCTACAAAAATAACAATAATAATATCCCAAAGGAGCTCTGGTCAATGCTAAATGTCAGGCGAATCCCATCTTCATTTTAAGGATCAGTGTACAGTTGTCCATCAATTAAAGTCAATTTATTTATGTCCATTCAAGTGAAACAGTAGAATATTCATTGTATTATTACCCAATCAAGATGAAACGTGTAACACTTTACGGGGCGGTGGGGTAGCCTAGTGGTTAAAGCGTTGGCTCGTCACGCCGAAGACCCGGGTTCGAATCCCTACAAGGGTACAATGTGTGAAGCCCATTTCTGGTGTTCCCCGCCGTGATGTTGCTGGAATATTGCTAAAATCGGCGTAAAACCAAACTCAGTCAGTCAGTAACACTTTACAGTTAACCAAAGGTGTACTACTTCTGTTGGTGTGAATTATTCTTTATGTATATACAGCACTGTATGTAGGCTTGCACGGCCGGAGTAGTAGAGACTCACTGGACTCGGGACCATGCCCCCTGGACCATGGTCACTCTCTTGGTCGACGCTTTCCAGTGTCCGTTAAATAGAGGCTCTACTTACAGTAAGACTTGTGTCTCATGTTCGATCACGTGTGGTCAGTCTGTGACAGTGTTTAGTCATTACTGTCTTTAATATACCGTATTTCCTTTAGTAAGTTCCCGGGCGCTTATTACTTCAGCGTTGTAAGAGGCGACTAACGGGATCGGGTGGTCAGGCTCGCTGACTTGGTTGACACATGTCATCGGTTCCCAATTGCGCAGATCAATGCTCATGTTGTTGATCACTGGATTGTCTGGTCCAGGCTCGATTATTTACAGACCGCCGCCATATAGCTGGAATATTGCTGAGTGCGGTGTAAAACTAAACTTACTCACTCACTCACTTATTATAGTATGGATCAGTTTGATACTACTCACTCAAACACACTGTTTTGACTATGCAGAACTGTCCTATTTTGATCCCCTCAATGCCGAGGACCAGGCAGAGAAACAAGAAGTACTCTGTTTTGGTAGCTAGTGACTGGGAATCAGTCCCCCAGCCTTATATAGCTGGAATATTACTGAGTGCGGCGTAAAACTAAACTCATTCACTCACTCAATCACTATTACTTCAACAAACTCTCAGACCCGGCGCCTAATAGGGGCCGGCGCTTATTGGAGACCTGGCACTTAAAGTTTCAACGGAAATAGATATAGATTCTCCATTGGTATTTTATTTGAAAACTACATTGTAAACATGTGGCACACCCGGCGCTTATTATAGACCCCGCGCTTATTTCTTGAATAGCTGCTTAACCCCCGGCGCTTATTGGAGGCCGGCGCTTATAGCCATCCGGCGCTTATTAGAGGAAAGGCGGCACTGGGCTATGTAACGGGCTGACTAAAATATTCTGAATACTGTGTTATCTTATGTTCCACTGATTCCCAGATCCGGTTATGGTACTCTCTTATCCTAACATTATTTAAAGGACCGCCTCCGTGGTGTAGTGGTTAGAACGTCCGCCCGGAGAGCGGAAGGTCGTGGTTTCGATCCCCGACCGCGTCATACCAAAAGACGTTAACATATGGTACTTGTTGGTCCCTGCCTGGCGCTTGGCATTAATGGGTACAACAAGGACTGGTCGGCTCGGAGTCAGTATAATGTGTCTGAGTGAGTTATTCATGCTTCACTGCGGCATGGTATCTCAGTGGGCTAGCACTATAAAACCAGCTTCAGTCTGGGCTAGTACAAGCAGCCGCACATACACATACACACGCATTCACGTCGTCATATGAGCGAAATATTCTCAAGTACGACGTTAAACCCAATTTCACCTCACCTCACCACATTATTTAAAGAAATGAGGTCATCTCTTCATCTGAAACTGAGGCTGCAATGTACCCTTTCTTTGTTTTAAATGACGTACTAAAACATTCCGATCATATTCAAAGTGATATAGATCAGCCTGGAGTGAGGTCAATTAGTACCCACGAGAATACATGTACCTATTTCTTATCGGGGTGGTGCGGTAGCCTTGTGGTTAGCTCGTCACATCGAAGACCCGAGTTCGATTCCCACATGAGTACAATGTGTTCAGCCCATTTCAGGTGTCCCCGCTGTGATATTATCCGTTTGCTAAAAACGGCGTAAAACCACACTCACTCATCAACCTCTTGTTTTAAAAAAAAATCCTATCTCCATATATCTTTAAGCAAATAATTCCCTACGTATACCACTTAGATATAAACTACAAATGGATCGACCAGCATGTTTACAAGCTCATATTGGTAAAATGTTAGTTTTGAATGGAAGAATTATTCATATGATTTGTTTTCGAGATGGGTAGGCTAGATTATATGCCTCGAGGGATACCCTTCCAATAAAGCTTAACAGTCGTTTCTTTTATCACCCCATACATACGGGCGGTGCAAAATTCTAATTCTTCCATTCACACAATACATCTCGTATCCGATTACACTATCAGCTTTACCTGTTACGCAAACCGCGACGGGCACTTGTTGCGCCTAAGTGTAACCAGCTGTAAGGGTAATAGTATATTTGTGCACGAGAACTGGACGAGATCGCGATATAGCTGTTCAAAATTTTTGGCGGAAGGAAAACATTATGTGAATGTTTACGGAAATAATAACAGAACGGGCCCTCTGATCATGCGGGATCATGTCAAGTCCCCGAAAATCTCGACGAAAAGTAGAATTAGATGATGCTGTTGAGCTTATTGCAAAGTGTAAGTTGATTACGCGCTCTTACACTGGTTGTCATTTGTCAACAAATATGCAAAATGTCTGCTTATGAAAATTGATTTATCTTACTCAAATTTGCCTGGTCTTATTATCACGTATTAAGACATGTATTTTCGATGTTAATGATTCTTCTGGTTATCTCAATTCTAAACGTAGATCGACACTATATATGATATTTCTGCAGACAGCGCATGACGTGTCTTGATTGATGTTGTGAGATGTTATGACTCATGGTCACAGATTGTCGTGTTCACAGGCAGACTCACTGTGAATGAATTTGAGACTCAGAATTGCTTTTTGTTTAAATGGTGATATTATGATATTTGCATTTAGACCAATATTTCATGTGAATGTCGCGATCATTCTCTGCTCATGTTTGATCATCAGTGATCGCACTCAGTGTCCTGTCGTTGTGTTTTGACATTACGAAAGCATCATGTTTGATGACAAAATTTCTTTCTGTGATTTGGGTTTTCAAATCCCATGTATTTATTGCACACAACTTGTAGGCAAATCCACAAGGCGTCTGCCTGTGTGAAAGTTTCTCTTATTTTTCAGTTTAGTGTCATTTACAGTAGACTTTATTGACAGTTGAGAGTAGCTGACCAAATAGAAAAAAACAAGATAAACGTTTTGTACAAAGCAATGCTGATGACGAAGTCATGAGCTATTTATATGTATTGTGCACAACAAATAGGGAAATCTATCAGACGTCTGCCTGTCTGAAAGTTAGTTAGTCCAGCATGTAACTAGATGACTTTGCACTATACCAAGGTGTGCTCTGCTGGAATACGAAATTATTTATATGAACTAAAAGTTAGTGAAACCTTCTTATATTTTGGATTTGGTGTCATTCTTAGCAGAATTTATTGACTATTTGTGGAGTCGACACACAAAAACTCCTATGGTACAGGTTTTGGATTAACCAATGTTATGACAGTGGATAAAGTCATGGACTGTTTACCCAACAAAAATATACTACTCACACTTTGCTAAGGATAAAAACTTTAACTTTACTTAAACATAGATTTATAATTTGAAATTGTATCCATTTCAAACTGGATCGATAATAATATGGTAACCCCTCATTAGGCAAATAGCCCCTTTAATCTAACCTTATTCACTTGATACATGAGTAACCATAAAAATTGTTTTCATGGCACCATTGAACCATTTTGCAAATCATGAAACTAGCCATTGACAAGTACACCTGTCAATAGCAGGTATGGGATCCACAAGATGAAATGAAATAATGAAACCTAGATCCATGCTTACAATAAGCTTAGATATTTAAATCAAATTTGACCCCACATCATAGTTTTCTGTTGAATCAGGTTGAATCCATGATTTGATCCTTAGCAAAGTTTGAATAGTATATGTCAATACCAAGTTACACACATCAAATGAACTCAGTCAATAAAGCATGCTATGCTCCGATGATATTAATCAACGACACATGATATGTATGAAAATGTGGGCTGTATTATGTGATAGACAGGTAAAACATCACGACCATAATGCACAAAGAGCCAGTGCCCCCACATGTTAGATAATAGATATATCACAGATTACAGATGAAGGCAGGGATAGAAATACTTATTTTTCTAAGTGTGCCTTAGGGCACCAGACAAATATTTTAGATGTGCCTTTCAGAAATCAAGTGTGCCCACATGTTTTTAGAAAAAATAACTGTAGCAATGATGATGATCATTTGTAATTTATTGTTAGTAAACAACAAATGTAACCTGTCTTCTGTGATCACTGATATGTTTTCTGTTTAAGATGGCTTTCGCTTCATATATTCTGCTTTCCCAACACCTTATAGCTAGAATTTTGTGACATGTTCACTTGTTCAATATATGTAACATACACAATTTCCTCTTCAATAACCGAACTATAACTACTCCCATCACTCTAAATGGAAAAACAACCAGATTTCTTGACATCATCCATCATAATTCCAGCGATTTCCTGGGTGATAAAGTCAATAAATGTTTTTGCTTGTTTTTCATTTGCGTAAGTGTTTTGATTTGGGGATTACATGACTAAAGGTGAGTTATGTCTCTTAAAAATTAGGAGTGCCATAAGGGCACCGAGAACATTTTGTATCCGTGCCATTTCAATATTTACCGTGCCATGGCACACTAATATATGAGGAATTTCGAACCCTGGAAGGTATCTTGGCAGGTCAATGACAAAAGATAATCATTCTGTTCAAAATTGGGATTATGTCAAAGTTCTTATTTTGAAAGGTATTTTGGTATTGCATTGAACACAATAATGTAAAACTAAAGAAAACATCTGCAAACTCAGCGAAAAGGAGATTCAGCCCATCTCAACAACTTGGGCAAAGTCATAACATGAGTAAAACACTTTGTCATGGACTATGTTACTGTGTTGTCTACATGAATAGGTGTTTATTTCTTCCAGTATTGGAATATTTACTGTCATTTATAGTATCCTTGTGCAGGGCTCCAGATAATTTTTCGACATCAGGAGTACGTACTCCTTAGTTTTTCAATATAAGAGTACTGGAAAACTTTAAGACTACATTTAGAGTACTGAATGGAATTTAATGGCATATCAGTAATGAACAATAAAACAATACTTTTTTCGGATAAATACGCCTGTAAATGATTTTAAGACCGTACACCATTGCTGTGGTGCGTATCTGCTACGTTTTCCAAAACGTCCTTTCCGTATCGTGCATATTTTTATCCATTACATGCGCCCGATACGACCCTTATCTGGAGCCCTGCTTGTGCTTAAGTCCGAATATCAGTCCTTGATGCTTAAGTCCATATATTGGGTTGTGTGAAGATCTGGGTTAGAATTGGTTTTCTGCAACCCATGCTTTTGTTGCGACTAACGGGATGGGGTGGTCAGGCTCGCTGACCTGGTGACACATGTCATCGTATCGCACTTGTGTAGATCAATGCTCATGATGTTGATCACTAGATTGTCTGATCCAGACTCGATTATTTATAGACCACCATAGCTGGAATATTGCTGAGTTGGCATTAAACGACCAACCAACCGCATATCGGGATCTGAACCTCTTCATGAATACTATGAATGCACAGTGCATTAGAAAAATACATTCTGATGTTTAGAATGTTTGTATTGTTTACTCCATGATGGCTGGAACAATTCTTAGGACACCATTAACCAAAATTCACTCACTCACTCTGCATGCCCCATGTTAAATTGGTCAGTGACCTATTTTTGAATAAGTGTGCTGGGCTTGACATAGAAAATAGACAAACAATTATGTTAAGTAAATGATAGAATCTGGTAGCCAGGTTTTAACAGTGCTATCTTAATTTTGTCAGATGTAGGAAGTAGGGCTGCGCAAAATAACCGGTTCAGACATGAAAACAATGAGTATTGCGATACGCTGATCGAAAACAGGTATTTTGACTTGCATTCGGAAAACTTCGTAACACTCGGAAATCTTCAGATATTTCCTTTTTTCATTTGTGCCAAATATTATTCACATTTTTTTTTTAATCATGAATAAAAGTTGTTATTAAAGCTTAATCAAGCATAGAGATTTTGCTGTGTATTTGCTCCATAAATCAAGCATTACCTCGATTATAAGTAGATTTTACTTCACGCAATATATTGCAATACATATCGCAATACATGCTTTCTTATCGCAATATATCGCAATATGAAAATTCTCTGCAATACCCACCCCTAGTAGGAAGACATGCACTAATAATGCTTACTGCAGGGTTTTATCTAGACCTGTTCTTGTGCCAACAGGGCCTGTAAGTCTCGCAAGGGGCTACTTCCGGTACTAAGCTGGTTCCCGGCTCTCTTTGTGCACGCCAGCGTGCGATGTGCAAGATGGGTCCAGCTTACTTCCGGTACCAGATTTCCGGTGACAAGCATATATTCAAGAACCAGTTCTGGTTCCAAATTGCGCCACCCTCAAATATGACTTTACTAGACCGGACCAAGTGTACAACAATGCTTGGCTGTCACAGCTGTTGACATCTGTTGACTGTCATTATATCTGGCTAATTTGGGGATGGTTTGATCAGAAATTTGTTATTCCTACAAGGATTATCAGTTCCTTATTGTCAGCTGACATCCATGAGACCATTCGAAAAGGTATGAAACATTGTCACTGGAAGTACTAAGGTGAGGTGAGGTGAAATTGGGTTTAACGTTGTGCTTGAGAATATTTCGCTCATATGACGACGTGCAAGTGTGTGTATGTGTATGTGCAGCTGCTTGTACTAGCCCAGACTGAAGCTGGTTTTATAGTGCTAGCCCACGGAGATACCATGCCGCAGTGAAGCAGAAATACCCCACTCAGACACATTATACTGACTCCGAGCCGACCAGTCCTTGTTGTACCCATTAATGCCGAGTGCCAGGCAGGGACCAACAAGTACCATATTTTAACGTCTTTTTGGTATGACGCAGTCGGGGATCAAACCCGCGACCTTCCGCTCTCCGGGCGGACGCTCTAACCACTACACCACGGAGGCGATCGGAAGTACTAAGGTCGTGACCAACTTATGGGCCCTATTATGGACCCCAAATCAATTGGGGAATTGTAATTCAAATATCAGTTAAAATTCTCAAATTTGAATTACAAGTCATGTTATATTGTAATACCAGATGGTATTGTTTTGTAGAAGTGACTTGAATTTTAATCACAGATTTGAGTAAAATAAGGATTTTTCTTAAATTGCTTGTCAAGTGCCCTTAGGAATTCCAATACACCAGAACACATAATACATGTTGTTATATCATGCTGTACTAATTAGGGCTGCAACGAATACACTATGTGGTGAATATGATACGTATCATGAATTTTGGGTAACGAATATGAACGATCATTCACGAATATAATATTGTAGTTAAGTGATTGATGCAATTATGGAACGTCCATGTTGACAGTTTTGATTTGTCATAGCAATAACCAGTGATCTCATGACACTCAAATTTGGTATGTAATAGTTATAATTGACAGTACCATGTGCGGCCTTGGCAAACTAACATGACTTGCACTACTGCAATGCTAGTACATATTCCATTCTTGCATATCTCACTTTGGAAAGGACATAAGGGTTCAAGTAAAACATGCTGCCTTAAAAAAATCGTAAATATTCATTAATATTCGGTTCTGGTGACCACGAATAACGAATTAAATTCATGAAGGGCTACGGTTCGATTCAGCGAATATGCGAGTGAATCGTTACAGCCTTAGCACTAATTGATTAATAGTAGACATGTATTTGGTAGCTCAGTATTCAGGTAATCAAGACCCGTGAAGGTCCGGGTTAGAATTTATCTTCAGTAACCCATGCCTGTCGTAAGAGGCGACTAACGGGATCGGGTGGCCAGGCTCGCTGACTTGGTTGACACATATCATCGGTTCCCAATTGCATAGCTCGATGCTCAGTCTGTTGATCACTGGATTGTCGGGTTCAGACTTGATTATTTACAGACCACCGTCATATAGCTGGATTATTGCTGAGTGCGGTGTAAAACTAAACTCATTCACTCAGGTTCCTAAGTTAATTCATTGTTCCTTTGTTTATTTTGTAATGTTTTATCTGCAGGTGACTCAAGCACCAAGGTTCGGGGCAACCTGCCGCTTCAGCTTGCTTTGGATACCATCCATGATGTGGCAGAGACAGATGGGCTGCAGCCTGGCCACATCACCACACTGCTAGACAAGGCAGCCAGTAGTGTCCTAGGTGAGTCAGTTAGTAGGGTCTTAGGTTGGCCAGCAGTGTCCTAGGTGAGTCAGTAGGGTCTTGGGTTGGCCAGTAGTTTCCTAGGTAAGTCAGTTAGTAGGGTCTTAGGTTGGCCAGCAGTGTCCTAGGTGAGTCAGTAGGGTCTTGGGTTGGCCACTAGTGTCCTAGGTGAGTCAGTAGGGTCTTGGGTTGGCTAGTGTCCTAGGTGAGTCAGTTAGTAGGGTCTTGTGTTGGCTAGTAGTGTTCTAGGTGAGTCAGTAGGGTCTTGGGTTGGCTAGTGTCCTAGGTGAGTCAGTTAGTAGGGTCATGGGTTGGCCAGTAGTGTCCTAGGTGAGTCAGTTAGTAGGGTCTTGGGTTGGCTAGTAGTGTTCTAAGTGAGTCAGTTAGTAGGGTCTTGTGTTGGCTAGTAGTGTTCTAGGTGAGTCAGTAGGGTCTTGTGTTGGCTAGTGTCCTAGGTGAGTCAGTTAGTAGGGTCATGGGTTGGCCAGTAGTGTCCTAGGTGAGTCAGTTAGTAGGGTCTTGGGTTGGCTAGTAGTGTCCTAGGTGAGTCAGTAGGGTCTTGGGTTGGCTAATAGTGTTCTAGGTGAGTCAGTAGGGTCTTGTGTTGGCTAGTGTCCTAGGTGAGTCAGTTAGTAGGGTCTTGGGTTGGCTAGTAGTGTTCTAGGTGAGTCAGTAGGGTCTTGGGTTGGCTAGTGTCCTAGGTGAGTCAGTTAGTAGGGTCTTTGGTTGGCCAGTAGTGTCCTAGGTGAGTCAGTCAGTAGGGTCTTGGGTTGGCTACTAGTGTTCTAGGTGAGTCAGTAGGGTCTTGGGTTGGCTAGTAGTGTTCTAGGTGAGTCAGTAGGGTCTTGGGTTGGCTAGTAGTGTCCTAGGTGAGTCAGTAGGGTCTTGGGTTGGCTAGTAGTGTTCTAGGTGGGTAATTTAGTAGGGTCTTACTCTTAGGTTGGCCAGTAGTGTCCTAGGTGAGTCAGTAGGGTCTTAGGTTGGCCAGTAAAGTCCTAGGTGACACAGTCAGTAGGGTCTTAGGTTGGCCAGCAGTGTCCTAGGTGAGTCAGCTGGATCTTAGGTTGGCCAGCAGAGGCCAGTAGTGAGTCAGTTAGTAGGGTCTTAGGTTGGCTAGTAGTGAGTCAGTCAGTAGGGTCTTGTGTTGGCTAGTGTCCTAGGTGAGTCAGTTAGTAGGGTCATGGGTTGGCCAGTAGTGTCCTAGGTGAGTCAGTTAGTAGGGTCTTGGGTTGGCTAGTAGTGTCCTAGGTGAGTCAGTAGGGTCTTGGGTTGGCTAGTAGTGTTCTAGGTGAGTCAGTAGGGTCTTGGGTTGGCTAGTGTCCTAGGTGAGTCAGTTAGTACGGTCTTGGGTTGGCTAGTAGTGTTCTAGGTGAGTCAGTAGGGTCTTGGGTTGGCTAGTGTCCTAGGTGAGTCAGTCAGTAGGGTCCTGGGTTGGCCAGTAGTGTCCTAGGTGAGTCAGTCAGTAGGGTCTTGGGTTGGCTAGTAGTGTCCTAGGTGAGTCAGGTAGTAGGGTCTGGGGTTGGCTAGTAGTGTTTTAGGTGAGTCAGTAGGGTCTTGGGTTGGCCAGTAGTGTCCTAGGTGAGTCAGTAGGGTCTTGGGTTGGCCAGTAGTGTCTTAGGTGAGTCAGTCAGTAGGGTCTTGGGTTGGCTAGTAGTGTCCTAGGTGAGTCAGGTAGTAGGGTCTTGGGTTGGCTAGTAGTGTTCTAGGTGAGTCAGTAGGGTCTTGGGTTGGCTAGTAGTGTCCTAGGTGAGTCAGTTAGTAGGGTCTTGGGTTGGCAAGTAGTGTCCTAGGTGAGTCAGTAGGGTCTTGTGTTGGCTAGTAGTGTTCTAGGTGGGTAATTTAGTTGGGTCTTACTCTTAGGTTGGCCAGTAGTGTCCTAGGTGAGTCAGTAGGGTCTTAGGTTGGCCAGTAAAGTCCTAGGTGACACAGTCAGTAGGGTCTTAGGTTGGCCAGTAGTGTCCTAGGTGAGTCAGCTGGATCTTAGGTTGGCCAGCAGAGGCCAGTAGTGAGTCAGTAGGGTCTTAGGTTGGCCAGTAGTGTCCTAGGTGAGTCAGTTAGTAGGGTCTTAGGTTGGCCAGTAGTGAGTCAGTTAGTAGGGTCTTAGGTTGGCCAGTAGTGTCCTAGGTGTGTCAGTAGGGTAAATCAATAGGGCCAGAGTTCAGTTAGTAGTGCCCTAGGTGAGTCAGTTAATTGGCTCCTAGGTGAGTAAACAGACCCCCTAGGTCAGTCAGTTAATTGCATCCTAGGTGAGTCAATAGACCCCTAGGTCAGTCAGTTAATTGCATCCTAGGTGAGTCAGTAGTGTCCAAGATGTGTCAGTAGACTCTAAGGTGAGTCAGTATATAATGTCTTAGGTAAGTCAGTTAATAGGGTCCATGGTATGTCGGTCAGTAGGGTCCTAGATGAGTTAGTTAATCAAGTTATAGGTGAGTCGGAAGGGTCCTAGGTGAGTTAGTTACTAGGGTCCCAGGTGAGTTAGAAGGTTCCAAGGTGAGTTAGTTTCTAGGGTCCTAGGTGAATAAGATGGGTCCCAGGTGAGTCAGAGGGTCACGTAAGTGGGTCAATGAGGACATTAATGAGTCAGTCTGGTAGTAAGTCAGTTAGTTGAGTAGTATGTGTGAAGGGTATGTGGTGTGTCAATAAACTTATTGATTGAGAATAGGTAATCTGACATTTTACATACCTGCTAATTTGCATACACATACATTTGTTTTGCTTGTCTTGAATGTATTACTTCCACCAGTTAAACCCTGAACAGATGCCACCTCCAGCATCAGCAACGATCAGAGCTGCATGTACAGTTGCTGGACCACATTTGACTGATTTCTGTTACAGTGCAAACAGTGAGCTCTCGGCTGATCCGATGTCTCATCCCGAGAGTATTCGTGCCAGAGAAGGCAGTGGTCAAGGCAGTATCATGGATGTGCACCAACAAACCATCAACTACAATACAGGTTGGCTTCTTTCTTTGCTGGATGCAGTGGTCACATTGATCACACCTGTGTTGAGAACACAAGGCTAAGAAAAATAATCTTGATGCTGCTGCTGTTGCTGCTGCTGATGATGATGACGAAGCAGCTCAGGATATTGCATGTCAAACATCTTGTGGAATGCAAAGGCCAACTACTGACTAGCAGTGGTGTAATGCTGTGGCAATACAGTATGATCATATTGTCATATTGTCATATTGTCACACCTTTACTGTTCTAAGAAGTGTAGTCCACTGGAAAATATGTTGGATGTAATAAAAAGTTAAACTAGAAAACATCCTCAGTTACCTTTACTTCACCATGTCACCTACATCTGAATGGCAGCCATGTCAATTACTATGAAGGTCACCTACATCTGTAGATTACCTGTATTGAAATGTATGTCACTTAGTGTCACCTAGTGATTAAAATCTAATAATTGATGATTGGTCCATTACACCGATCAATCATCGAAAGTAATTGGTTAGCGTCATTTATCAAATGTTCCTGTTATTTTGTTAATGCACAAAAAAATTAAGAAAAACCATGTAGTAATTTCTCTTTGTTTTGCAAATTGCATAAAGTCCATTTGCAAATTTTGCATATTTAAATGATCATTAGTATGTTAGGAACACATATTTCCTGGATTCTTTAAGATAAATTCAATCATGACTTGGAACGAGCTTGTACATGTAGTGCTTATGAAATGTAAATTTAATGACACCGACAAAACCAGCATTGTGAAAAATATTGTTCATGCAAACAAGTGTTCCAAGATTGGTCGTGTTCAATTATGAGAAAACATGTTCGATTGCTAGGTCGTTTAGTCACTGCGACCAATCTTGGATTATTTCAATTAATCGGACCACCACTAATGTCACCTACATCTGAAGGTCACCCATGTTAACTATACCTAAAGACCTGTGAAAATCCAGGTTAGAATTGGTCTTCAACAACCCAAACTTGTCGTAAAACTAATAGGCGACTGACATGGTTGATGCATGTCATCATGTCCCAATTACTTAAATTGATGCTCATGATGTCGATCACTGGATCATCTGGTGTAGACTTATATACAGACAACTGTCATGTAGCTGGAACATTGCTGAGTGCACTGTTAAATAGTGGTGGTCCAATTAATTGAAATAATCGAAGATTGGTTGCAGTGGCCAAACGACCAAGCAATCGATCACATTTTCTCATAGTCGAACACAAACGACTTTGGAACCGCTGTAATAGAGTTTGAAATACTTGATGATGGAACAAATCTAGGACGTTGTCAGGGCCTGAAAACGTGTTTTTTCTCTAAGAAAACTCACTTCACTTTCTGAAAAGTCATGACTGAATATTTCTTGAAGAATCTGGGAAGTTAATGTTACACTGGAACTGAATCATTTTACACTGGATGTGAAATCTGCAAATGTAATTTGTGCAGTTTCTCAAAACAACAACAGAGAACCAAATGTTTTTTCTTTATACTAATCTGCAACTACAACCTGAATAGGAAAATCTAAAAAATGATGATAACCAATTTTTTTTCAATGATTGGTCGTTGGTATTGAACCAATCATCAATTGTGAGATTTCAACCAATTCCCAACACTACTGTTAAACGACCAACAGACAAAACAAAACCTACACCAATAGGTCACCATGTTGACATGGGTTATAGGCAGGGTGTTTTACATGACGCGTGATTCCTGCGTATTTGACACAACAATTTTGTAAATGACTCTCAAAATATTATCATACGGGTCAAGCTTGACGCAAGTTTTATGGGTGGCCCTCACAATTCAGTTCAATAAACTCGATTTGATAAGCAAAAAATTATATTTGATGATAGTTTGACTTTTACAGAGCTGTCAGATTGTTCCAGAGAACTCACAGGACACAGTAATCCTGGCTGTTTGAATTGAACAATGCTGTAGTTTCATTTGGTGGTGTGACATAGACAGTTACATACTAAGAATGATTAACACAAAGAAATATTAAATATTTTCATGACTCCCAAATATTGAAAATGACTCCCAAAAATAAATATTGTGAGTCACCATGACTCCCATTTTTAAAAGTCTGTGTAAAACCCTGGTTATAGGACTTGTCACATGTGACCCTAGATTCTAATACTTATGTTCCACAGAGTCTGCTCGTGAGATGGGTGCTGCTGATCTACGACCACATGGACACACACAAGAAGCTGCACAACCTGTACGGCATCCTCTTCTACTTCCTGGAGAACCAGGCCCTGGTAGGCAGAGTTACCTCCCTTTAACCACGTGTAAACTATCACAATAAACACACAGCAATATATTAAATATTTGTTTTCAACCATATGTTTGAAGTAGGCGAGCATGCAGAGAAAGAAAGCTTTATTATATATATTTTGTGTTCAGTTGTTGACAGATGTGATTTGCATGAGTCATGGACAGGGCTCCAGATAAGGGCCGTATCGGTGTATGTACGGATACAAAATGTGCACGATACAGTAGGAAATAATTTAGAAAACGTAGCAGATACGCACCACAGCAATGGTGTACGGTCTTAGAATCATTTACAGAAGTATTTATCTGAAACAGTTTTGTTTTATTGTTTATTGACCTGTTTACACAAGAGTAGCAATGTTGTGGTGCATATATGAAACGAAACTCAAGATTACTGATACTCCATTAAATTCCATTCAGTACTCTAAATGTACACGCAAGGTTTTCCAGTACACCTGTATTGAAAAGATAAAGATTACGTACTCCTGATGTTGAAAAATTATCTGGGGCCCTGGGCCTAGATTTTCAAAGCTCTCTTAACGCTAAGATAGTCGTAAGTACCATACATTAACATTAACTTACGACTATCTTAGCGCTAAAAGAGCTTCGAAAAGCTTGGCCTTGATTAGAGTTGTGACGATATATCGTAGTATCGATAATCGTGATACTTTTTCTGACAATAAAAATATCGATACTTTTTTCCGTATTGTGATATGTATCGTCGACCTTATAATTGTGAATTTTCGCGAGAAATTGACGGTTATGTCAAAATTTACACTGTTTCTTCTTATCAAAAAACACTTTTTTAAAGAAAATAACTAAAGATAGCATATCGTGATATGCATCGTATCGAATCGTATCGTTCTATGATATCGCGATACGTATCGTATCGTAAAATTTCTGTATCGTCACACCTCTAGCCCTGATTGATGTTTGGTAGCACAGCATATGGTTTGCTTTATCAGAGACAGAAGCAGCATACAGTCATGTTGACTTAATGAAATCAAGGGCTCACTGATCATGCTGATCAAGAGTTTTAGGTTAATTGATGTGTTTACAATGTGAAAGTTAGAGGCTTCCAGGGTTCTTGAAGTTGACTGCTGTGGCAGGGGTGGAAATAACCCATTGCTCGACGTCCGAGTCCAGTATTTTTTTCTGTCGGGCAAGCAAATTTGTATATCACACTGTACCGGTGTCCAGTTGACTTTCCGATGTTAATTATGTTGTTTATTTAAAAAATCAACAAGAAAACGGACGGTATAGTGGAAAAATTATCAGGGCAAGTGATTTTACATGTGCCACTGTACCGGAGTACATTAGCAATTTTAAAGTTATTTCCACCCCTGTGTGGTATTAAATTTTATTGCTTGACTGAGGTATTGTTTGACATACATTATCTGCATATTCTGTTTGACAGAGACGTTGTTTGATGGTGATGTTGTTTGATTGTGACATTGTTTGACTCAACATTCGTTGGCTAATTCATTGCTGACTGTGTGACTGTTACAGTTCCCCTACATATGTCACCTGCTGTACCAGCTAACGAGGAAGGAGGACGTGAAGATGTTCCGTGTACGGAGACTGCTCTTTCTGCAGAAAAAATATGTAAGATATATACTGTTTGCATGACCTTGAAATATACATTACTTGAATTTCAGGATTTCAGTGTTTGAATCTTATCACAATATTTGAAGTTGATTTTCAGTTTCAGTTTCTTCGCATTTCTTCAGTTACAGGTAGTTCAGTTACAGTATTATCAACAAACTAGAACTATTTCAGGGATAACAAGCAAGTTGTACTGTCATGTAGTGTTGGGAATTGGTTGAAATCTCACAATTGATGATTGGTTCAATACCAACGACCAATCATCGAAAAAAATTGGTTCGTGTCACTTTTTAGATTTTCCTATTCAGGTTGTAGTTGCAGATAAGTATAAAGAAAAAACATTTGGTTCTGTGTTGTTGTGTTTTGAAACTCACAAATTACATTTGCAAATTTCACATCCAGTGTAAAATGATTCAGTTCCAGTGTAACATGACTTTTCAGAAAGTGAAGTGAATTTTCTTAGAAATAAACACGTTTTCAGGCCCTGACAACATCCTAGATATGTTCTATCATCAAGTATTTCAAACTCTATTACAGCGGTTCCAAAATCGTTTGTGTTTGATTATGAGAAAATGTGATCGATTGCTTGGTCGTTTGGCCACTGCGACCAATCTTTGATTATTTCAATTAATCGGAACACCACTACTGTCATGTATGTCATTGTTCCTTGTTTTCCAGGGGTCGCAGCCATATATAGTGGGTCTGTTGTCACTGTACAAGTTGTACTATCCAAACCTGGTGTCGGTCCCTGTTTCAGCGACAAGAAAGGTATGACAATGTTGTATATAATCATTAGATGTCATGTCAAGGACACTTCATAGCACAGCTGTGTCTTGTGCAATATACTGGATACAGGTGTCTGTATGTCTATACCTAAGCAGTGTTCATTCTAGCCTTAATAAAAAAGTGGGCCTATGGCCCACCTGTCCTCAGTTATGTGGGCCATTTAGAAAATAGTATGGGTCAGGTCAAATTGTGCCGTGACTTGTTAGACAGACAGTACCTAGTAGCTACTAATTTGAGTTTACTTACTTATACAATATTTGGCTGGTGCAACTAGGTTTTTATCTTTGGTTGCACCTGGTGCAAGTAGGATAACATTTTTTAAATCGAGCCCTGCACTTGTACATAACAATGTAAAAGGATCTTTTGTACATACACAAATTAGTTTATGAATATTTACAAATATTTTCCTCTTATATTAGAATTTGTTTTATGTTTAATCAAGGCATGGATTCTTTTTCAGAAGAAGTCCTCCTTGGGGTACATATAAGCATTAAAATGTCCATTTTAAAAGCCTACGACAGTTGTAACAATATTTCAATAAAATATTTTACCAAACAAAAAACTCGTTATGTGTGGTGAGACCACCCCTACAGGGCCCCGTAGAGGGCCCCCTACAGCCAAGAGCAGGTAACTCTGGCTGTGTACCTCGTACCTCACTTTTCATGCTGTCGTCGGCCGTGTAGGTCGATTGCATGGTCCAAGAAGCTACTGAATAAGAGAGGCGATGAGTGAGATAGAGTCAAATCCTGTATGTATGGTTCCTTTTTTTTTTCGGAGGCTAGCTGGAATCTTTGTATGACTTTTTCATTCATGATTTGTTGTAACTTTACCGGGCGTGTTAAGCTGTCTCCAGCCACGTGGCAGGCAAGATGGCGGACCGCTGGGTCCGTTTGCTTTCCTTCTCCTGGCTTTAGAAAAAGCCTTGTAGTCGGGTTGTGAAAGGGCTGATATTTCATTTTGTAGATTATACTTGCCTAAATTCCTCTTTTTTCCAGGCTTTAGGTAAGTTTTGCTTGAGTGTTTTCGTGACGCGTTTACGTGTCGCTCACACATGTTGCTCTTTGTCAGGAGCCGCCTAAAGACAAAGATAAAAAAACAAAGAAAAAGAAGGCTTCGGCTTCCTCTCTTTCGGGGGATGCTCCTAAACGGGCGAAGGGTACTGGGCCTCCGGCTCTTTCACCTGCCATCCCCTCAACATCACAGGCAGGGCAGGTGCTGTCACCCGTACCTAGACGATTGGCTCCTTTGTGCGCTTGCCACTCACTTGAGTCGAGTTGCGACACTTGCTGTGATGAGTATTCTCACCAAGTTGGGCTGGATTATCAACCTCAAGAAATCAGAACTGGTTCCCACCCAGGATCTGGTGTTCTTGGGAGCGAGATTCGAGACAGCGTGAGGGATAGTCTCCCTGTCTCCGGACCGCGTCACCAAAGTCCAGAGAGTTGTGTTACAATTTCTCGAGTTCCCCAGGGCCTCAGCTCGGACTTGGCTCCAGTTGCTAGGCAACATGGCGGCAACGGTGGACATCGTTTGGCGAGAGCGGTTGAGGATGCGACCCATTCAGCAGGCTCTAGCTCGAATGTGGGTCCACACCCAGGGTTACGAGTTGATTCTCCACACTCCAGGGTGGCTAATTCCTCATTTACGGTGGTGGACACTGGCAGGGAATTTATCCAAGGGGCTCCCTTTGGACATCCCATCGCCAGATCTCTCAATTCAGACGGACGCTTCCCTCACAGGGTGGGGGGGCGTGCTGGGCGCCCTGTCGGTCTCAGGCCTGTGGTCACAGAGCGAGGCGCAACTGCACATCAATGTGCTAGAATTGAGAGCAGTCAGGTTGGTGTTCAAAGCGACCCGGGAGCAGGTTCAAGGCCGTGTGGTCCGTCTCGAGATGGACAACCAGACGGCAATGACCTACATCCTGAAGCAGGGCGGTACGGTTTCCCCGTCTCTTCTGCAGGAGGCATGGCAGTTTCTGCTCTGGTGCGACCAGTTCGACATACGGGTAATGCCTGTTTATCTCCCAGGGGCGGACAAGCGTTCGGAGCAGATGCACTCTCTCGTCAGTATCCTGGCCCCCTGCAGTGGATGCTCCATCGGGGGATATTCGGGGCTATCTCCCAGTTGTTCGGGTCGTTCCAGGTGGATCTGTTTGCATCTGGGGGGACGAACCAGATTCCGGTGTTTTGCTCTCGGATACCGGATCCGAGAGCCATCGCCCAAGACGCTTTCCAGCTCGATTGGACGGACAGGGTTCTGTGGGCGTTCCCGCCACTACCCCTGATTCCCAAAGTCCTCTTGCAGCTTGCCACCCAACCAGCTCGACTTCTTGTGCTCCTTGCACCCCTTTGGTCGGCTCAAAGCTGGTTTCCGGTACTACTCAGGTTTCTGGCTCAGCCTCCTGTACTATTACCCTTTCGACCGGACTTACTATCCCAGAGCGGGCCGCACCGAATCCCAGGATTCAGTGGGTGGCCTGGCCTCTGTCGAATCGCCTCCACGCGAAGCGAATTCCTGCACCAGTTGCAGACACAATTCTGGCCAGCGGAGGGATTCGACAAGCGTTCAGTATGAGGATAGATGGGCCTGTTATCTTGGCGCTGGTGTGTCGGCAGAGGGATTCTTGATCCCTTTTCTTCAACTGTAATTGAAGTACTGGAGTTCTTGCAGTCTCAGTTAGAAGCCCGGTTTAGTCTACTATCCGGGGCTACTATCGGGGCTACTCCACGGCAATCTCTGCCTTCCATATCCCTGCCGACGGTGCTCTCTTGGGGCAGCACCCTCTCGTCTACAGCGCTTTTAGCAGGCGTGGACAGAATCCGTCCGACTGTCCGGGCGGATTAGTCCCCGTGGGACTTGTCAATCGTTCTTGATTGGATGTCCGGTCCTCTCTTTCCACGATCTGTCGTCTCTTTCACTCCAGCTGTTAAGTTGGAAGGCTGCCTTTCTTGTGGCGGTAGCGTCTGGCAGGCGGGTGGGTGATATCCATGCGATGTCAGCGGATCCTGCTCTGACTGTCTTTCACAAAGACAGAGTCAGTATTCGGTTGCCAGACTCCTACCGTCCTAAGGTCGCGAAGCCTTTCATATAGCGGCCTATCGAACTGCCAGCTTTCACTCAGCCTCCATCGTCCGGTACCTCTCTCTCGGCGTGCTCACGTCTTAGATGTCCGTAAGACTCTCAAGGCTTATATCAAGCGACGGCTGCTATCAGGAAAGATAAGCAGCTGTTCTGTTGTTATAATGTGGCAAGGCTGGTCTTCCGGCGAACAAGCAGACCATATCTAGGTGGCTTGTCTCTGCCATTTGTTCGAGTTACTCTTACAAAGGATTAACCATCCCTCAGGGTTTAAAGGCTCATTCGATTAGGGCAGTGGCGACATCAAAAGCATACAGCGGCACTGCCCATTGAGGAGATCTGCTCAGCGGCTATCTGGAGCCGACCGAGTCACGTTCATCCGCCACTATCAGCTGGACAAACACTCACGGGGCGTGCTCGGTTTGGCCAGACAGTTCTCACCAGTGGGCAGTGTCGTGATTCTCTGGCGAATGAGCCTTAGAAATCGCGTTTGCTTTTCTCATGGTGTAGGTGTTAATAAATTCCTCAATTTTTATCGGTGGTGGTATCACATTGGTGGTGGTTTTACCGTATGTAGCGATTATCACTTTCGCTACAGTCACTGTGTTCATCCCTGCACGCAGCTTCGCTGGTTTGGGTTGCTGAGGGATATATATTGGACTCGCCCATACTTTCCCTCCCATTTTGATGGTTGGGGTTGGACTTGTGTCCGCCTTTATAAATTCCACCAATAGCCTATCGGCTAGGCTCCTTTTCCCCGCCTTGCCGCGCCCGCCTGATTGACATCAGCGGTCAGGTGACTAGGTGAGTGTACTTTCTCTCTCTGTCGGCTTCAGCTGTGCCTTCGACTGAACTAGGGGTATGTTAGGCAGACAGAATACCACTCCGACTCAACATCGTTGGGAGTCTGTCTTATGCTTATATGTACCCCAAGGAGGACTTCTTCTGAAAAGAATTTTACAAACCTGGAGAGGTTATGAATTCTTTGAAGAAAAGTCCTCCTTGGGCTCTGACTCCACCTCCCTCATTCTGTCTGACACGTTCAGCATGAAAAGTGAGGTACGAGGTACACAGCCAGAGTTACCTGCTCTTGGCTGTAGGGGGCCCTCTACGGGGCCCTGTAGGGGTGGTCTCACCACACATAACGAGTTTTTTGTTTGGTAAAATATTTTATTGAAATATTGTTACAACTGTCGTAGGCTTTTAAAATGGACATTTTAATGCTTATATGTACCCCAAGGAGGACTTTTCTTCAAAGAATTCATAACCTCTCCAGGTTTGTAAAAATTTCAGTAATGTTGATGTTAATTTTTTGACAGATTTTCTTCAAGAGCCATGACCGGAAGTGGGCCGAGCTGATCAAGAGGGTGCAGGAAAAGGCCCTGTCTGAGCAGGGCCTGAGCATCAGTGTTCAGGAGTCCCAGCTCAGCAAGGCAGGAGCTGGCCCTGGAGGAGTGTCTGCTAAAAGGATCAACACCAGCGCAGTGATGCCGGTATGTAACATGGCATCTCAGTCTGACCAGCATGCTCTTATCTCCTGCTTGTTTGAGGAACTGAATTCACTGAACAGAGTTGTGTCCCTTTGGTTTGCCAGAAGCCTATGATCATGCGTTGAAATTCCAGATTCATCCTGAGTTTGTTTGTAGTTTTGTTAGCCCTTTACTTGTCCCGTTTTTTCCGAAAAGGTAATGTCTATTACGTGTTGCTTTAGGCTTTCCTCCATCAGTCAGATGAGAGGCTGTGATGTTTGTACTGTTTAAAGCTGGGTTAGCCTGTACTCTCTTGCATTCTAACTTGGTCACTTGTTCACTCACTCATTCAATCACTGTGTTTACCCATCTTTGACCGGTCTAACTCCATCACTCACTCTGTGTTAACTCATCTGTCTTTGACAGAGGTTCAGCCCCATCACTCACTCTATGTTAAGTCATCTATCATTGACAGGACGTCGTCATATGAGCGAAATATTCTCAAGCACGACGTTAAACCCAATTTCACCTCACCTGATTGACAGGTCCAACTCCACCACTCACTCTATTTTAACTCATCTATCTTTGACAGAGGTCCAACTCCATCACTCACTCTGTGTTAACTTATCTATCTTTGACAGAGGTCCAACCCCATCACTCACTCTATATTAGCTCATTTATCTTTGACAGGTCCAACTCCATCACTCATTCTATTTTAACTCATCTATCTTTGACAGAGGTCCAACCCCATCACTCACTCAATGTTAACTCATCTATCGTTGACAGAGGGTTCAACTCCATCACTCATTCTATGCTCATCTATCTTTGACAGAAGTCCAAGAGGAGACGTGTCATCACTCCAGCAGTGCATTCCTCGTCCCTGGACGACAACAAGCACAGTGAAAACGTCCACCTTATGATTGACCACGTCACTGTGCCCTTTGTGAGGGTTAACTCCTTCAAGGAAATGCTCAACCAAATTGACAGAATTGAGGTATGTTTTTCAGGAATCATTTGCTAATATCTCCTGCAAGATGAATGCAAAATTGCAATTGAAAAAGTGTTAAAGGTCACATGCAACCCAAAAAAACAAACATAATTAAAACACAATTATCACTTGTTCATGACATAAAATATACATTGCTCATTATGAAAAAACAAATAAACAAAATTATAAGCGTACAATCGCAAATCAAAAGTGCAATATTTTGTACTTGGGTTTACTTCCCTCGAAATGAAGCACCCGGGATACCGAACCCAGTCAGAGCGGGTGGGCGTGCACTTAAATGTAACGAAGCCTTTCATTGGCTGGTTCATTTGCCAATACGCTCAGGGCTTTTCGTGTGTGTATAGAGATGTTGGGTTTTGTAAATACATGCTCATTTTTTTGTGTATAACATTTTGCAATCAACAGACATCATAACATGTCATGTGTTCAAGTATCACACCTGCCTGTCTGTGTCATTACATAATGGGACAGAGACAGAACTCGGGTGCACGAGCCATAAATCAATGCGTTTTGTTTATGGTGTATAGCCTGATAGGTGTTAAGTTCAAATTGCATGTGGTCAGTGATCGAAGTTGTGTATTGCATGATATTGTCATTAGCAGACAGGCAGGCAGACACATAGGTGTCAATAAAACAGACATTGAGTTTTGTCTGTGACAGAGGCATATCTATATCACAGTTAGAAATTCTGACAATGCTAAATAATGACATTGATGTTAAGTATCGAACTGAGAAAGTGACTCAGTAAGAAGAACGTGTGGTGAAATAGACAAATGAAATTATATAAACAGTTAAATCGGTAATCTCCTGTCATAACATATCAAAAGCTCGCACCTGTGAAATATCAACAAAAGTTAGGAAAAAAGCTCAAATCAAAGCCTACTCCAAGTACTCACCGCCAGCGAAGGTTTTCCGTCTTGAAATGTTGAGAGCTTCACTGGTTGACACATAGCTGAGTAGATCTAGATCTAGATCCTTAACAAAGTTCTTTTATGTAACGAGTAGATTATTTACTATTGGTTGTTTGTGTACACAATCAAGATCAGGGTTCGAAATTCCCCATATATTAGTGTGCCACGGCACGGTAAATATTGAAATGGCACGGATAAAAAATGTTCTCGGTGCCCTTATGCCACACCTAATTTTTATGAGACATAACTCACCTTTAGTCATGTAATCCCCAAAACAAAACACTTACGCAAATGAAAAACAAGCAAAAACATTTATTGACTTTATCACCCAGGAAATCGCTGGAATTATGATGGATGATGTCAAGAAATCTGGTTGTTTTTCCATTTAGAGTGATGGGAGTAGTTATAGTTCGGTTATTGAAGAGGAAATTGTGTATGTTACATATATTGAACAAGTGAACATGTCACAAAATGTTTAGCTGTAAGGTGTTGGTAAAGCAGAATATATGAAGCGAAAGTCATCTTAAACAGAAAACATATCAGTGATCACAGAAGACAGGTTACATTTGTTGTTTACTAACAATAAATTACAAATGATCATCATTGCTACAGTTATTTTTTCTAAAAACATGTGGGCACACTTGATTTCTGAAAGGCACATCTAAAATATTTATCTGGTGCCCTAAGGCACACTTAGAAAGAAAAGTATTTCTATCCTTGAAGATTAGACTACTCCTGCTCACGACCTCATAATCCGGGAATCCTCGCTTCAAGCTGCGCGAACCTATTCACTGGGCATGAAACCACTTTTCACCCCAGCTGGGGTGAATTTAGTGAATCGTTTGAACTCCAATTTCGCAGGGTTTTTTTCATCGCGTTATTTTTCAACTTTATAAGTTGAATTTGCTATTTTGATAATTTGTTACTGTAAGTCCATACCGAAAGGTATCAGAATCTGCAAAGTTGTGTTTATGTTGCATGTTACCTGTAATTTAAGAATGTGTTTCAAAAGGCCATAATATTTTTAACCAGTCTCCATCTAATGTTAATTACCTAACTCTGATTAAATATCATTGCTTAGAATAAAACAGGTGCTTCTTTTTTAAACAAAGAAAACCATTTATAAATGAAGTATAGATACATGTATGTCTATTCCTGTTAAAGTCCAGAGAGTTATCTCCCTTCCAATGTTTGACTGCTTGTGTAATCATCATCTATATCCCAAACCTGGACAGAGTGAATGGAAGGACCCATGGCATAGCTTCATTTTCAATGTGTAGCCAGTGGGCTAGCCTAGTGGTTAAAGTGTTTGCTCGTCATGCTGAAAACCTGGGTTCAATTCTCTACATGGGTGGTCCATGCAGGAAGAAATGTACTGTAAGTCCCCATGGTCCCTAGTATGGTGATCTACCTTCAGTTGTTGGCGATCTATAGCCAGTTTTTATATTGTATTGTCCAAATAGTGCTATTAGGGCTTTTTAATTGTAATTGTGATATTCTAGTTGTATTACTGTCTTTATAAATTCGTTAAAAGAACTTGTAGTGACCGGTTTTATAATATACATCTATTGCATTTCAATGTCACATATGTTCTGGTCACGATATGGCTGAAATATTGCTGATGTGACGTTAAATAATAACTCACTCACTCACTCACTCTCTACATGGGTACAATGTGTGAAGCCGTTATATTGCTGGAATATTGCTAAAAGCGGTGTAAAACTAATCTCTCACTCACTTAGTTTGCATGGCCTTGAATGTTTGACTTGATACCTAGAAGTCCTGAAATATTTGTAACATCCATGTTTGTTGTTTACAGTTTCCCAGCCAGGTGGCAGCGGCCCTCCAGGATCCGATACTACAACATGTGGTGGCGTACTCAGCTGACCAGATAGTAGCCATGAGGTTCAGCTACTGGCTGCAACATACTCTCATTGAAGGTCAGACACAGGTCTTGGTTGAGCAACCTTGACAGTAAAAAAGTTTTTTTTTAATTATTATTATTTTTTTATATTTTATTATAGGATATTTATATAGAGCACATATCAAGGCAACTAGTGCTTGCTCAAGGCGCTGGTATTTTTCCCTCGATCATTGGATGTCAGTCTCAACGGCACATCGTGTTATCAATCTCAACTCCCTGGGGAGCATACAACTCTTGCAGCCACTAGGCGCACCGAGTTATTGTGGCCTTCTCATCCTAACGAGGATATTTATGTGTTCCATTTGGAATTAAGTTTGTCAACAAGAGGATATACTCTCAATCCATCTTCAACTCGGGTATTTCATTTACATGAGCAAGATGATAGCAAGTTGTTTATGGTTCCATTTCCTTTTGAATGAAAATGATAAATGTAATACCCATTATCATTTCTGATTCCCAAGCCAGTTCATGTTTGTGGTTAAGGTGTGTAACAATGTATTGAGGCTGCGATGCGATACATATCCTGAAAATGTAGGTGTGATACAATTCTGATCCCGATACAGTTGTATTCATAAATAACAGCCTACTCGTTACCCTATATTCATGAAATGTCTTATACTCTCATTATACTCTCATTGTACTGGATTTGTTGCTGGCCTAGTAACAAATAGGAACATCTGAACGGATACCACAACAGGTCATAAATTACATGACATGGTTTGAACAGATACATACTCACGATATAGTCAGAATTGTACCATAGACTCAGGTGAGGACCGTATTGGCGTATGTATGGATAAAATATATGCAAGATACAGTAGAAAATAATTTAAAGAACATAGCAGATAGGCACCACAGCAATGGTGTACGGTCTCAGAATCATGATTTACAGACATATTCTATATCTATCGGATTTCAATCAGTGTCCCATATTTGAATTTACGTGATAGCGGCACATTGGGGTTTCCTTTGTGTTTTGGGAATTCCGGTTGCTAAGGAAACCGCGTACGGCAGCGAATCATCTCGGTTAAATTTGATTGGTCGCAATTGCGCACCTGTCTGTAAACATGGCAGCACAGAAACAAATTACAAGTTTCTTTCAGAAACAAGCATGTGCCTCGACGACTTGTAAACGGTCAAGGAATCAAATTGCTGTACGAATAATGAATGAACTGTTTACCAGTATCACTCATTCGTCTTCTCGTAGTCACACTCCATTAAATTCCTTTCAGCACTCTAAATGTACTCTTTAAGTTTTTCCAGTACTCCTATGTTGAAAAAAATAAGGAGTACATACTCCTGATGTTGAAAACTTATCTGGAGCCTTGAGACTGCTTTCATCAGAGATTTTTTATGGATGTGGAAAGGGTTTTGTCGTTTCTATTGACAATGACCTGTGACCACAGTGCTGTAAACAGAAATATGTGTGTTGACTTGGATATGTTCCATTTTGCATATGCTGCTTTCATGAATGGCAGACAGTTTCACATGAAAATACTCTTTCATAAAAGAGAAATTTGTGAACATTTGACTCTTGTGATCAGGAATAACAAATTGATTTCATAAATAGTATGGCTTGATTCATTTAATGGCCATGTATTCATGGTTGTTGTCACTCACTCACTCATTCAGGGATGATCAGGTGAAATGTTGGATGCCACTCAGTGTCAATGTTTTGTGGATGTTTTTCACAGAGCTCCAGATAAGATTTAGCTCATATGGGTACTGTACTCACTGTAATTTTTTGGAGTCGGTATTATGAATGTTGAGTGGGTATTTCATTTTCCGTTACCCACTGCTTTCAAATATGTGTGTATTTCAGTCATTTTACTCACCTAAGTATTACGTCATTGGGTAACTTTACTAAGCAGGTATGTCCTGCCTTATATCATACCTAATCAAAACCAACTTAAATATAATGGAAATTATTTCATAAAAAAATCACTTATCCAATACTAACAGTACAACTTGATAGCAATCGATGTCTTGTTCATTACGCAAGCGGTTTTTATAAATATATTCCATACGCATTTGTTTTAAACTTTTTGCGTATCTAAGATTTTAAATGCGTAATTGGTACGCAACAATTATTTTTCAATGTGTAATTGGAAATTTTCTATGCGCAGCTTATCTGGGCCTCTGTTCTCATGTGATGAACGTTTTCTCTTATTTTCAGAGTTTTTTGACATGCCAAGAGAGAATCAGGATGAGAAAGAACAGTTTCTTGACCTGCTCATTAATTTCACAGATTTCCTTCAGGTGAGATGATCCTAGTGACTACCTAGGTTGGCCATTTGAATAGTCAGAAACAAGGTTTCAACAGGGGGACAGATTACTTTTTTTAGCCATTGACTATTTACTCACTGTTGAAAGGTTTCTTTTGGTATTCATTTTATTTTTACTATCGTTGGTCCTCCCTTTGGATATCTTTGGCACCACTGAAGAGATGAAAAAACAAAATATACAAGCCAAGCCAAATATTCTGCTTGTATTGCTTGTTCAGGGACTTGAAATATGTATATGTATGCTAACCCAAGTCTCAAAAACTTGTACAGCGATGTCAGCAATGTGAACAAGAAGCAAGATATGGTGCAGTTTTCATTGTCCATATTAGTGGTGGTCCGATTAATTGAAATAATTGAAGATTGGTCGCAGTGACTAAACGACCAAGCAATCGATCATGTTTTCTCATAATCGAACACAAACAATTCTAGAACACTTGTTTTCATTAACAGTATTTTTCACTAGGTTGGTTTTGTCTGTTACATTTCATAAGCACTACAAGCTCGTTCCAAGTCATGATTGAATTTATCTTAAAGACTCCAAGAAATTAATGTTTCTAACATACTAGTCATCCTTTAAAGATGTGAAATTTTGCCAAAAATACCCCAAGAACTACATGTTTTTTTTCCTTATTTTTTGTGGATTAACAAATTTCATAAATGACGCTAACCAATTATATTCGATGATTGATCAGTTTCAATGAACCAATCATCAATTACGATATTTTAACCAATTCCCAACACTAGTCCATATGCATTATCCACTGGTGTAGAGTGCCTGGATATGTTATGCCTGCACTCAGTCAGGAAGTAAAGATCTTTAAAGAAACTTGTGTTGTAGTGATGTATTTCAACAGAGTTTCACCATGTTGGTTCAGAGATCGCTGACTTGGTTGATGCATGTTATCATATCCCAACTGCGTCGATTGATGGCCATGATATCAATCACTGGATTGTCTGGTTCAGACATTCTATGCTGAGTGCACTATCAAAGACAACAAACTAAGCCATACACTGAAAGCTCCACTAACGGTTAGGGCTCAGGACGTTGACCTTTGGTCCAAAACTCACTAATGAGTGAAGAAAAAAGGTTGACTTCCTGTCTGTTTCGATAACTTAGTAATTAACATTGGATTATAGATACACAATGACGGGTCTACATGTTGTTAGAAGAGGAGAATCCGGATTTTGAGGATGAGAGCACATGTAATGAAAAAACAAACCAAATATATGTGTAAAGATAGTGTTTTATTTCAGTCTCAGTTCACTTAGTATATAGACATTAAAATATAAAACATGTGAAATGAAATACATAAAAGAAGGCGTAAGCCACGAGTGGTAATGAGAGACTATATGTAGACAGATTTTTTTTTAACCATGTTACAACATGATACATTTTACAAGAATCATAAATAGTTATGTTACAAAAAACATACACATTTATACAGTACATTATGAATTTATTAACAGTTAACAGTTAACATTCCATTTTGAAACTGGTGTCTCAGTTCTTGAAGACGACGTTCCAGATATCGGTATTTTGTCTTCCATCAACCACCAGCCTTGTAATAACACGTCACATGAGATTAGCCATGTGCTAAAATAACGCCCAAACTTCAAAGCTTACTGCTTGTCAACGTCCTGAGCCTTATAAGAAATCCAAAGGTCGACTTCCTGAGCCGACACCCCACTAACACCTGTGTGTTGTGTTTACAGACAGGGGGCTGTGGGGTAGCCTAGTGGTTAAAGCGTTCGCTCGTCACGCCGAAGACCCGGGTTCAAATCCCCACATGGGTACAATGTGTGAAGCCCATTTTTGATGTCCCACGCCGTGATGTTGCTGGAATATTGCTAAAAGCAGCGTAAAATCAAACTCAGTCAGTCTGTTTACAGACAGTCATTGTATCATCCATATAGCTGAACTATTGCTGAGTACACTATCAAAGACTAACTCCTGTGGGTTGTGTTTACAGGAAGGCATCCCGGTCGTGGACATGTTCCTACAGAGATACCTGCTGACATGGAATGGCTCTGACTACAGGCAGCATATACTCAGACTCATCTCTAGGTGTCGGATATACCCCTTTGGAGGTATGTGAATATACTTGTCTCTTGGTGTTGGATATACCCCTTTGGAGGTATGTGAATATACTTGTCTCTTGGTGTTGGATATACCCCTTTGGAGGTATGTGAATATACTTGTCTCTTGGTGTCGGATATACCCCTTTGGAGGTATGTGAATATACTGGTCTCTTGGTGTCGGATATACCCTTTGGAGGTATGTGAATATACTTGTCTCTTGGTGTTGGATATACCCCTTTGGAGGTATGTGAATATACTTGTCTCTTGGTGTTGGATATACCCCTTTGGAGGTATGTGAATATACTTGTCTCTTGGTGTTGGATATACCCCTTTGGAGGTATGTGAATATACTTGTCCCTTGGTGTCAGATATAATCCTTTGTAGGTAAGTTAATATACTTGTCTCTAGGTGTCAGATATACCCATTCGGTGGTATGTTACTGTATAGTCACATGTTTGTATCTTGTATTTGTCGTAGGTTCGGCTCTGTTATTGTCTGAGACAAATATTAGGAGACGGATTGGTTTAAAAAGCTGTTTATTGCCTGTAATTAGAAACATCAACAATATGAAAAGTTGATATCTGTCTGCCGTCGTCTGAGGCTGACAGGTGACAATCGAAAGTGAGTTCAAATTGTCCTGACGTCACAGGCAAAAGCTCGTGAATTACCTGTGCGTCAGATACAGGTAGCACGTACAACTCCTTATTATTTGATTGTTGAGAGGCAGCCGCAGGACAGAAGAAAGAAGAAATACAGCTGCCGGCGACATATGCATAAACAAACTTAATTCCTAAGATCTTGATTCCTGTTCAGTTGACATGTTGGAGACGCTGTCACGTAATTACTGATCTTTGTTTCATCATGTTGTCATGTTGATTGTGACAGCATTTTGCTGATGCAAGCTTCATTTCCTGTTTCAGTGTTAAATGACTTCATCTTAGAACCTCTGAGGAAACTGTACTTCAGCTCAACTGTCTACTTCAAGGTGGGTATCTGGAGATGCTTGTGTTACTATGGTTACAGCCATAGTCATCTTTACTCCTGAAGATCCGAGTTAGAATTGGTCTTCAGCAACCCATGCTTGTTATAAGAGGCGAGTAACGGGATCGTGTGGTCAGACTAGCAGACTTAGTTGGCACCGTATCCCAATTGTGAAGATTGATGTTCATGCTGTTGATTACTGTTGATTACAGTCCCTAAACTTGATATTACAGAAACATTGTTGATATTTTTGGTATGTTAACTTGAATGTGCAATATGATGATAACGATTATCGATCTCTATGATGTGTACAGACTCGTGCCATATATATTCAGACACTTGACGTCATTTCCATAGACTTACATGTTATTTCAGTGTAGCATACATAATTTTCATGAAGTGAGTGAGTGAGTTTGGTTTTACGCTGCTTTTAGCAATATTCCAGCAATATCTGGCGGGGGGACACCAGAAATGGGCTTCACACATTGTACCCATGTGGGGAATCGAACCCGGGTCTTTGGCGTAACGAACGAACGCTTAAACCACTAGGCTACCCCACCGGCCCTTTCATGAAGTGAGTTTAGGATAGATCTTTGTAAAATTTGACAGGCAAATTTGAAATCATCTCTGCTCTGCGCACATAATTTCAGTTCAATTTTCCGACCACTATTTAACTAATGCAGGGCTCGATTTAAGAGATATTAACCAACTTGCACCAGGTGCAACCTAAGATAAAAACCTAGTTGCACCAGTCAAATTCCAGTTGCACTGCTCTTATCGCAATATGTAATGAAAGAAATGTGCAACTGAATTATTTAAAGCTTGGATAAAAAATGAGCTGACATAAATATGCTTATAATGTTAGATTTATTGTTGATTTATTTCTCAAAATTTAGACAAATAAATAGGTTGCATTTTGTAATATTGGGTTGCACCAGTGCAAGTAACAAAGCACTAAATCGAGCCCTGTAATTATATCACATTTATCAACTTAGTTCCAGAATGTACAATCCAATAGCCTGCCATGTTAAAGGAGTTCACTGCACTGTACATATGTTGATTAAATTGTTGCCATTCAATAAATAAGCAACGGAAAATTAAACAGAAATTATGTTATTGTAAGTAAGATGATTCCTCACAAATGTGCAAAATTTGACTTGGATCATACGAAAATTAAATTCATGACATTTATTTATGCTACACTAGATTAACATGTAAGTCTATGGAAGTTGCGACAAGTGTCCAAATATAACTGGCACGGGTCTGTATGTCACTGTAACTACAATATCTGTATGATACTCTGTAGCGCCTTGAGCATGTCCGTCGAGGTGGATTGGGCGCACATATAAATATGCATTATTATTATTATTATTATTATTATTATTATGAGTCTTGATGCTGTAATGTGTCAGTGTTGTTTCCTCCAGTGCCAAGTGATTCTGACCCTGGTGGAGATGATCAAGAACTACACTGCAATTGAGTGGCCACGCTACAAGGACCTGATGGAGAATAACTTGTCTGTCAAGGGCCCTACGTCTTCTAGGTATGTTGTACATCACTGACCTCTGTGGTCGGGAAAGTGCCCCATGACTCATGCTTGCGAAAATGGGGTTGTGGTCACCAGCTGTGACATGGTCGTTGTCATCATATGTCATCCCTGCTTATGCTCTGAGTCACTAGTAGTGGTGTTCCAATTAATTGAAATAATGAAAGATTGGTCGCAGTGACCAAACGACCAAGTAACCGATCACATTTTCTCATAGTCGAACACAAACAAATTTGGAACTACTGTTTTAATGTTTTAAACACGTGATGAAGGAGTGAGTGAGTGAGTTGACTTTTACGCCGCACTCAGCAATATTCCTGCTATATTGCAGCGGTCTGTAAATAATCGAATCTGGACAAGACAAGCCAGTGATCAACAGCACAACTGGGAACCGATGACATGTGTCAACCAAGTCAGCAAGCCTGACCACCCGATCCCGTTAGTCTCCTGTCACAAGAGGGTTACTGAAGGTTCATTCTAACCCGGATCTTCATGGGTCACACGACAAAGGAACATATCTGAGAAGCTGTCAGGGCCTGAAAACGAGTTTAATTCTTAGAAAACTCACTTCACTTACTGAAAAGTCATGAAATAAAGCAAAAAATAACTGAAAACCACATTATTCTTATTTGCACTAACAACCTGAATAGGAAAATCTGGAAAATGATGCTAACCAATTTTTTTCGATGAGTGCTCGCTGGTAGTGAACCAATTATCAATTGTGAGATTGCAACCAATTCCCAACACTAGTCACTGGTCTGCCTAGTCCAGGGAGGACGATTGACAAGCCTTTGTTGGTCAACCTCTGTGTTACTGTCTGTAGTCCAGGGAGGACGATTGACAAGCCTTTGTTGGTCAACCTCCATGTTACTGTCTGTAGTCCAGGGAGGACGATTGACAAGCCTTTGTTGGTCAACCTCCGTGTTACTGCCTGTAGTCCAGGGAGGACGATTGACAAGCCTTTGTTGGTCAACCTCCATGTTACTGTCTGTAGTCCAGGGAGGACGATTGACAAGCCTTTGTTGGTCAACCTCCATGTTACTGTCTGTAGTCCAGGGAGGACGATTGACAAGCCTTTGTTGGTCAACCTCCGTGTTACTGTCTGTAGTCTAGGGAGGACGATTGACAAGCCTTTGTTGGTCAACCTCCGTGTTACTGTCTGTGGTGTAAAACAACGCTCCCTCACTCAATCAGATTTGCATTATTTCATTTGATGAGCTGGGATTAGTTAGAAAATCCATTGCAATGATGTGGACTTGTTCATTTGCAATCATTGAGTCTGCCATCCTTTATCTTGTGACTTTCTATATTCCTGTGGACCAGTGTTAGGATTGGTCCACAGTTTGTCACAAGAGGCAACTGGTCTGTGTGGTGAGGAGTGAGTGAGTGAGTCTAGTTTTACGCCACACTCAGCAATATTCCAGCTATATGGCGGCGGTCTGTAAATAATCAAGTCTGGACCAGACAATCCAGTGATCAACAGCATGAGCATCGATCTGCGCAATTGGGAACCGATGACATGTGTCAACCAAGTCAGCGAGCCTGACCACCTGATCCCGTTATTCGCCTTTTACGACAAGCATAGTCGCCTTTTGTGGCAAGTATGGGTTGCTGAAGACCTATTCTACCCCGGATCTTCACGGGTCGTGTGGTGAGGAAGATGATGTGGTTGGTAGCTGGAACATTGCTAGTCTGCAATTCCAGCCACTGGTTTGAGGCTTCAAGTAAAATTCTCATTGGTCCAGTAAACTTGTGAAAGTCCATTCAGTAACACTAAAATCTACTAAACGTGATGACAAGAGCAATGTTTGGGCTGGCAGATACATAACTTCTGGCAACTAGAGAGAGCTTGACTGCAGTGTTACCCATTCCCAGATGTAAATGTCTTGTTTTTCTTCAGCATGTCAATCTTCCAAGAGTATGGAGGGAAGTTCCGTCCTCTCCAAACCCTCCAAGACCTGATCCACTTCACGGACAACCTGGCAACGGTGGGTCTCCAGCTGGAAGAGGACAACACCCTGCTGGCCAACTGCATCCTCGACTACGTGCAGCTGGTGAGTAGCCATGGTGACCTAAACACTCTCAATAACAAGGTTTTGGGGTCCAAAAGATCAGCATGAGACCTGCCTTGAATCCATTTTGTTTGTTGTGTAACGTTTCACTCAGCAATATTCTAGCTAAATGGCCAGAGTCTAAGTAATTGAGTCTGGACCAGACAATCCAGTGATCAACATTATGAGCATTGACCTATGCATTTGGGATACGATGACATGTGTCAACCACGTCAGCGAGCCTGACCATCAGATCCCGTTTCGCCTCTTACGTCAAGCATGGGTTGCTGAAGATCAATTCTACCCCTGATCTTCATGGGTATTGTATACTTGTGTAACAAGCTGTCTTTTGTTGCAGTTGTCTTCCATGTGTCAGATGTACAGTGTCCCGTTCGTTGCGCTGTCTCCGGCGTCGCTGCTGGGAAGGTTCCTGGTGGACGACTCAGTTCTCTGTATCACCCGGCTCTGTTCCATCATGTGCAAGTAAGCATTCCATGACATCACTGTCTGGCTTTAGTTCTGTCTCTTAATAACAGTGTCACTCACTGTCAAAAACTTTACCTGCCAATATATTGCAACATGTATTGCCATTTGGGTATCTGTATCTCAGTGTATTGCCATAGAGTAGTGTAAACGTATTATATTTTGCGCAGGTTTTATTTTCGCGCAAAACATTTTAGAGCGAAAATTTATACGCCGCGAATAAACCTGTCATTCATTCAGTCTAGCCACGCTCGCCCCTGAGTTGTTACCATAACACATCACGTTTGAAGACAGAAATCAACGGGAATCTTAAAATGACGACTGATCATACTTAACTGTCGCTGTAATGGATTTCCCAAAACATAATTAAATAATGAGCCAAATCCCATTGCCGAATTAGCGAAAACAGCAATGTGTGTTGTGGCCGCCATGGAAATTGGTCACATGACAGATGGTTTGATACAAAACAGATTACCGTGAAACGACTCGGAAAGAAATAATACAGCAGTATTTTATTTATTCATTAAGATTTTATTCACCAGTACATCATGAAGCGAATAGTCACTAACACTCAATCATCTCATTCACAACAACCCGGCTTGTTTGAAATCACAAAGAGCTTCATATACAGTATAAGTTAATTCGTCAAATCGTCAGAATTCGGAACATAAGAACATACTGTGTTCTAGTATATCGCACAGATAGGGATTTCCTGTGAGTAAGCAATAAACGCCGCCTGACAGGTTAAGCCACTCTGTTTGTTTTCACTGCTGTTAGTGGCGGCCAAAGAGACATCTCGCAGTTCCGGCAATTACTGATTGAGCGAATAATTGACCGCGCGATGTAGTCTAAACTGTCAATTCCGCGAAAATTGCACCACGCGAAAATAAGTACGTTTACAGTATATTTTCCAGTACACAGCCCTATAGTATATGTTAATATTGAGTATTGACCACAGACAAAAATTTCTTTAAAAATGTTTTTAAATCTGTACATATCTACATCCATAACACTAAACGATTTAAATAACTCTGTCTGTACATATCTACATCCATAACACTAAACGATTTAAATAACTCTGTCTGTACATATCTACATCCATAACACTAAACGATTTAAATAACTCTGTCTGTACATATCTACATCCATAACACTAAACGATTTAAATAACTCTGTCTGTACATATCTATACCCTTTGTCTGCCCCTTGTTGAACCTTTTTGTAATATACACTTATAATTATGTGGAGAGGGCTTATTTAAGTTGGATAACTTGTGCCCAAATCCGCTTCTTAATTGAATAAAATATGTTTCAATCAAACAAAAATTTCACTGCACTCACAGCTCGATAAATAGTGAGTGAGTGAGTATGGATTTATACAGCTTTTAGCAATATTCCAGCAATATCACAGCGGGGAATACCAGAAATGGGCTTCACACATTGTATCCTTGTGGGAAATCGAACCTGGTTCTTCAATGTGACGAACAAACACTTTAACCACTAGCCTCCCCTACCGCCGCACTCATTAAATATAAGAATATATATATAGAATATATGCACACTATCAAAATTGATCAGGAGGAAGTTAAGTCTACAGTTTGCTATAAACTTTCTACGCAGTTACAAAGGTGCCTTTGAAGCTCTCAAGTCCAGACAGACACCAGTGGACGTTGACCTGATGGACCGGGATGGCACGGAGGACATCCAGAGCTTCAACAGACTGCTCCTTGATATATGTAACGGGCTGTGGCGGAACAGAGCCTTCGGGAGGCTGCCGGCAGCCTCGTTTTCGACTTCAACCCCTCAGAGTGTGTGGCCTCTGTTCCACGACCCAATGAAAACTTCTCTATCTACCTTCACCATGCCTTCCTGGGTTACAGTCTGGCTTTCTTGAACGAGGTACTTAATAGTTATTCCAGCCAACAAATCTGATCTTAGATGCTTGATTAGCATTTTAGAAGATGAACATAGAGATTTTTTCTGGGTTACATCTTCTTTCTATTATGAGTACGTCATAAGCATTGTGACGTCACGGGCAGAGTTAACAGTTACTGTTCAGTTTTTAGCTGCTGATGGGGCCAGAAGAAGCCCTGAAACATTGTACTCAAGAATAAAATGAAGATGCCCAGAAAAAATCTCTATGTTCATCAAATCTGATCTTGTCCTTTTTGATAAAGCCAATGTGTTTATTTATATCATTGAATTTTCTGTCCCTGGCAAGATTCAGGAAAAGCATACTAAATATGCAGACCTCTCCTTTAAAATGTTTCGCTTGCATCCCAAGTACACTGTCGTCAGGCTCCCCATTATTCTCGGTGCCCTTGGTTTGGTACCTCCTGATCTCTTGGCGCAGATCAGGAGAGTGCCCGGGTTCTCCACTGGGAGCACAGCCCTTCTGACACTCTGGGTAATGCAGAAGGCTGCAGTGTTAGGGAGTATACATATTCTCCGGGAAGTTCTTGGTGGGTTCGACTAGGCAGCGTTTCCTGGGAGAAGTCCCATTCGCTGTCTGGGCTGCGTGTAGAGGGGGCGAGGGCCCTGAGCTGATGATGAGCCTTACCAGCCTGACTGTGCCAGGATCACCCGAACCCTCTCTGCTGCATACTATCTTTAATCTGTAAAACATGATGATGGATATTCATTATGCACCTGTATCCACCCACACAAAGAGTGACAATAAAATGAGAGGATATAAACAAAATATACATGGTGGGTTTAGAAGAGTCAGTATTAAGCCAGGGTGAAAAGATGAGTTTTTAAGTGACATTTGAAAGTTTTCACAGAATCAGAATGTTTACTGTTGACCTGTAGAGAGTTCCAGAGACATGGAGCTGCATGTAGGAATGATTTTGCTTGTCGAATGAAGTTAAGCAGATGTTGGGGACTGTCAACAAGAGCTGGTTCTGGAAAAGGAAGAGTAATGGCAGGGGTGCATTCTCTGATGAGAACATTGAGATAAACTGGCACATGATTGTGTAGACACTTGTTGAAAATGAAAATGAGCTTAACGTAAATATGAGTGAGTGAGTTTGGTTTTCCGCTGCTACAGCGGAAACATGGGATCCACAATCTCTCCTTGTGATGAAGCTAAATTGTAAGACAGCCCGTAGATCTCCCTCAACATTACGTAATTACAACATACTAGAGTTGGGAATTGGTGTAAATCTCATAATTGATGATTGGTTCATTACAACCGATCAATCATCGAAAATAATTGGTTAGCGTCATTTATCAAATTTTCCTGGTTATGTTTGTTAATGCACAAAAAATAAAGAAAAAACATGTAGTTCTCTCTCTTTTTTCGCAAATTGCACAAAATGCATTTGCAAATTTCCCATCTTTAAAGGATGACTAGTGTGTTAGGAACATACATTTCCTGGAGTTGTTAAGATAAACTTAATCATGACTTTGAATGAGCTTGTAGTGCTTATGCAATGTCGAGACAAAATTAACCTTTTCAAAAATATTGGTATTGCAAACAAGTGGTCCAATATTGTTTGTGTTCGATTATGAGAAAACATGATCGATTGCTTGGTCGTTTTGTCATTGCGACCAATCTTCGATTATTTCAATTAATCGGACCACCACTACAACCGGGAATGTACTTGTTCAATGTTGTATGTTGACTTGATCATTTTCTTGTTTCAGACTCAACCTCCTGGGAAGAAAGTTCATCCAGGGCAGATCAAGGTATGTAGACCTTTATATATATATATGACTGGCCAGCAAAAAATTGGAAAATTTGTTTTTTTGTTCCAAATTTTGATATTCATGTTCTGTTTTTCAAAAATTCCGAGGTATAGTACATTGTATTTTGCTTAGCATTATAACCTCTTGTTTGTATTTGTTCTAGTATCACTGAAATTCAGCTTATCTTTACAAATCCATCAAAGAATTTTTAGATAAATATATCATAATGTATTTGTTGGTTTCACATTAATTTTCCACTTGCCGTGCGCATGTGCAGAGCGTGTAAACATAACCACTAGCCAAGTTCAGGTTTGGTCGTATGCTTTATCGATAGTGTAAACACTCTAAAGAAAACAGAAATCAAAGCAAATATATAGTTTTATGTCGAGTGCAACTGATCCCAATTGATTTATGAAACAAAGGCTGGGATTAGTGAAATATATAGCTTAAGTTACGTTAACATGCTCTTGTATGAGAACGGTAAGAAAGACTGCAAGTTGCCAAATTCATGTCCTGAAATAGAACCTCTCAATATACCTCAGTTATTTTATCTATCCACCGGTACGCAAGCTAAGATTTGACGTTTTTGTGTGTACGCATGTAAGATCACATTTTTTGAGTATTTACAAAAATTCAAGTGTACTTGTACGCAATAGACTTAATAAGAATTGAGTTTTCACATAAATATTTGCGTAATTTACGCAGATACGCAGCTAATCTGTACCTCTGATGTCGAGTGCTGTGTTGAATTCCTCAAGTGTTAGGATGGTGGGATACCCTTGTGGTTCAAGTGGTGTTAATTGTGGGTGTCACTCTCTGTTTAACACACAACTCAACAACTATTCAGCTATGTGACGATGGTCTGTAAATAATCAAATCTGGACCAGACAATCCAGTGACTTATTACGTGAGCATCAGTCTATGCAATTGTGATACGATGACATGTGTCCACCAAGTCAGCAAATCTGACCACCCGATCCCGTTAGTCGCCTTTTACAACAAGCATGGGTTGCTGAAGACCAATTCTAACCCGGATCGTCATGGTTGGCTGGTGTCACTGTGTGACACAATTAAGTTTTTCTGATCTAAACGTGTTCATAATATGTGACATTTCGGTGGTGGATTAATATATACAGCTGGCTGTAATACCATGAATACAGTGTTTATTAATATTAATATGTATGTGATTTATATGTGAATGATAATACGTGTAGCTGAAGAGGGGATCCTCTTGATACTTTGTTACACCATTTGTTTATTATAATACAACGTCAAAGTTTGTTATTGTTTTCTGAGGGAAAATAGTGAATGATCTGCAAATAAATTGCAAACAATATGTTTCAAGGTCGAAATATAAAGTATGGGACTATCATGCTGCTATACATGGTGGGCTACCCCAATTATATCTAATGAATACATATATCTGTAATTAAACAGGCTAACATCTAAATATATGCATGGTGCAGATCATGTTTGATAAATAAAAATAAAAATTAACTGCCTACCATAAGAATGTACGTAAAACCCATTTTGAAAGGAATATTTACAACCTGTATTGTGTCTCATCTTATGCAAATCTAAATGTGTATGAACTGATGCTGTCATAATTCACTTGCATACATGGTGAATTGAACCGTAACCTTTCATGCATTTAATTCAGTATGCATGATCACTCAAATCTAGCGGAAGGTCGCGGGTTCGATCCCCGACCGCGTCATACCAAAAAGACGTTAAAATATGGTACTTGTTGGTCCCTGCCTGGCGTTCGGCATTAATGGGTACAACAAGGACTGGTCGGCTTGGATTCAGTATAATGTGTCTGAGTGGGGTATTCATGCTTCACTGCGGCATGGTATCTCAGTGGGCTAGCACTATAAAACCAGCTTCAGTCTGGGCTAGTACAAGCAGCCGCACATACACATACACATACACACGCATGCAGGTCGTCATATGAGCGAAATATTCTCAAGCACGACGTTAAACCCAATTTCACCTCACCTCACCTCACTAGAATCTAGTATTGATGAATTGTTTATAGGAGTGTTTTTACATGAATTTGGTCATTACTGATCAAGTGAGACATGCAGTAAGTGGAGTATATCCGAGCCATTCAGGATAATAGTCAACACTCTCATTGTCGTGATACAGGGATTTACCTCGAGTCCTGTATTTGAGGGTCCCTGGGACTCATACTCTTAAGTTTCAATGGTCCTGGGCCTAGATTTTCGAAGCTCTCTTAGAGCTAAGATAATCGTAAGTTCCATACATTAACATCTACTTATGACTATCTTATCGCTTAAGAGAGCTTCGAAAATCTAGGCCCTGGACTACAAAATGGGGGTCCCAGACACTTAGATATTATTATTAATACTGTTATTGTATTGTGTATCATGATACAGTAATTAAAGTGCAAATCATACCATAACCCAGTTAGTAGCAAACTCAGTGATAACTTATTGTTAGTTGATGGGAATTCTTATAAAAAGTATTTGGACTTTTTCTGCATCCCTGTGGATGCGCTAATAAATTTTGTTGCGTCCATTGTCAATTTTTATGCGATTAGGATGCAGTAAATCCCTGGTCATCATGGTCAAAACATGTCATTGCCTATATGAATAATACATCAACTGGTGACATGTTCACTGCCCAGTATCTGTGATATGTATCATATTGACGTCACAGTGGATTGGTTGTAGCCCTCAGTGTTCACGAATGGTGTTTCAAAGTAACAGGACATTGGGTCCTGGAAGTCTCAGATGTCTGTCTGACCCACTGAAAATTCACAGGACCATAGAATAAAATTAAACACACATTTCAGATTTAAAATTTCTTATAATTGGCATTTAAAACTACTAACAAACATAAGATTTATAAACAGCAAACAAGTGTCACATGTGACACGTGACATATAACAACGTTTAATTTTCCGACTACATGTCATACCATCTACTTTCATTTTAGATATCATCTTTTCTTGTCATGATACTGTTTCATATATCTATGTATATTGGAGCGGTCTTCATATAAGTTCTTTTGAGCTTGTTGACCAATCCAGTTCATGAAAATTCTGTCTTTGCTTTTTCATGAAATAAATATGTTTAAACCATATATAACAACTTCAGTCAAAGTCATTATGAAACATACAGTTAGACACTGGGGCCAGCGGGTTGTAGATTTCTATCGGACCGTAGTGGAATCTGCCAGATTTGTCAGAGGGTCAGACACTATTCGTGAACACTGAGCCCCAGTTGGTGCATACATGTAGTTTGATAAGAGCTGCTGTATCAGTGGTATTATCTGAAATGATGTACTTGAATCATGGAGACAAATGCTAATCAGTGTGATGCTGCTGTTGCTGATAACTACAGTGGAAACTACCGCTTAACTAAACAGACCTGATAAATAAACACTATTCTTTGGTCCCTGCAAATTTCTTCATTAATTATCCTTTGTGTCCTCATGTCCTCATGTACCCTATATATATCCTGCTGTATTCATTCCCCATGTCATGCTTGAAAACTGTGTATCCATATATACCGAAATGTCGAAATTGTACAGTAAAGAAGTAAACACTTGTCATTCCTATTAATTATCACTATTAGAGTCCGGTTAACTAAACTCCGATAACGCCAGACCAATTTTATTTCTTGTTTTACGGATTTTTTTCCTCAGAAATCCTAAATGCAGGAGGGGAAAAAAAATCACCAGTCAAAGTAATATTCCTTCTAAATACTAAAGTATTTTGGCAATTTATGAATTGTATATGGGGCAAAAAACAAGTTTTCGTGTAAGTTTACATTTTTTTTCACAATAAAAACATTAGAATTATATTTTTTCAGCAGGGAAATTTTGTACAAAATTGTTTTCTTATTCTTGAAAAAATACGACAGGTGGATCCGTAAAACAACAAATTAACTTGGTCTGGCCTAAGTAAACAATACCACTGAACTAAACGTCTTCTCACGGTCCCTGGTAGTAAATTACTTGTACTTAACAAAAGAGACGGGATAATTAAATTTGTGATCACCACATAATCTGACATGAGGGTCACGTGTCAAGTCTCCAGCTAGCAAACATCCTAGTTACAGCTTGCTGGCGACATGCAGTTGACAATACACTGACAACTGGAGGCCAGCCCTGATAAGTGGTTCATTGTTACATATGCATACATATACATGCATACGGTTGTCATTTGCAGGTTTTTATAAGTTTGGATAAGTAAAATACCTGATAAGTAAACAATTTTGGCGAGTCACTTGAAATTTTACTAATCAGGTTTCCACAGTATATGAAGTGCATTACTCCAGCCCAACTAATACTGATATTGAAATTAAGCTTTTAACTTACGTACACAATACACAGTGTAACGTCTTTATTCATGGACCACCTTGACATTATATATGGAACACTGTGTTTGTTAGTGATTCATGCATGAGATATTTGTCATAGCTGAAAGTTAGTTCGATATTTCTCGGCGTTCATTTGGGAGTTTACAGGTCTCCAGATAATGTTTGAAATGTTTTGGCATACATTCTAATGCAGTTGTCAAGCATGAGTGGGGACAGAGCAAGATGGTATGAGAATCTATACCCAGGGCTCCAGATAATTTTTCAACGTCAGGAGTATGCATTACTCCTTATTTTTCAATACAGGAGTACTGGAAAACCTTAAGAGTTCATTTAGAGTACTGAATGGAATTTCATGGAGTATCAGTAATCTTGTGTTTCGTTTCATATATGCACCACAACATTGCTCTCTTGTGTAAACAGGTCAATAAACAATAAAACAATACTTTGTCTGATAAAAACGTCTGTAAATGATTGTAAGACCGTACACAATTGCTGTGGTGCGTATCTGCTACGTTTTCTAAATTATTTCTTACCGTATCGTGCTTATTTTGTATCCGTATATACGCCGATACGGCCCTTATCTGGAGCCCTGCTATACCGAAATGTAGGACAATAGGCCCACAAGGACATAACACCCTCAGACAAAACACCCCTAGGCTAAATGCCCCAATGACAAAAAGCCCTCAATGGGTAGGACAAAAGGTCCTCATTGAAGAGATGTAATAGAATACCAGCAAATCTTTTGGCAGCACATGGATTTATTCTCACATGAAAATAATATCGTATCATATCATATCATATAACATTAAATTGCATATGTAATAGCACAAAACATCATGTCACCTGTCATTTCAAAACAAAAACAGATGGTGTTTTATCCTATGGGTGGAAATTTGCAAGGTCCTTTTATCCTGGGGGCATTTAGCCTAGGGTTTTTTTGTCCGAGGGCTTTTTATCCCAGTGGGCTTATTGTCTGCCCACCGTAAGAAAGAAGTTGTCATCCAGGTGTCCTGCCTTTCTTACCCTCCGCAACTTCTCAAATGTCACAAAAACAGTTCAGGATGAAGCATGAAAGATATACTAGGTATCATAATTCCAGGGTGACCTGGTGTTAAAAATTACAATATACATGTGAAGCTAGCCCTATATGTTACATAGTGATATTGAAGTTGAAGGTAAATTCATGGCATCACGACCTCCTTGACTAGTTATTGATTTAAATGTGTGCGGGTTCAGGTAAATATGTAAATATTGATCTTTGTGTTTTTCTCTTGATATTGTACAGCACTTCCTAGTAACGCCTTTGGGGGTAGTCGACAAACGTTAAAGGTCACATGCAACCAAAAAATCAAACATAATTAAAACACAATTATCACTTATTCATGACATATAATATACATTGCTGTTTATGAAAAAAACATAAAAACAAAATTATAAGCGTACAATCGCAAATCAAAAGTGCAATATTGTGTACTTGGGTTTACGTAGAGGGTAATGTCTGAATAAGTCTCTATTCCTTAAAAATAATGGAGCCGAGACCCCGGAGGGGCCGAGTCACATTATTTTTAAGGAATGGAGAATTACGAGGATATCACCCTACTTAAATTACATTCAAAGTATTGGGAATATTTCTGTTATCAAAATTAAATGTCAAAATGACAAAATGAAGGCTTTAATTTGAAACTGGTACACATCGCTCCATTCCTGAAAAGTAATGGAGCGAGCAGACAAAGGAATGACGTCACAAATGTAATTTAATTCCCAAGAAACGAAGCAGCCGGGATAGCGAACCCAGTCAGAGCGGGTGGGTGTGCACTCAAGTGTAACCGCTGGTTCATTTGCAGATGCCCTCACAGCTCATTGTGTGTGTATATATAGAGATGTTGGGTTTTGTAAATACATGCTCATTTTTTGTGTATAACATTTTGCAATCAACAGACATCATAACATGTCATGTGTACAAGTATCACATCTGCCTGTCTGTGTAATTACATAATGTGACGGAGACCGAACTCGGGCCATAAATCAATATGTTTGTTTATGGTGTATAGCCTGATATTGTGTATTGAATATTGTCATTAGCAGACGGGCAGGCAGACACATAGGTGACAATAAAACAGACATTGAGTTTTGTCTGTGACAACGACATATCTACATCACAGTTAGAAATTCTGTCGACGCTAAACAATGACATTGCTTTTAAGTATCGAACTGAGAAAGTGACTCGGTAAGAAGAACGTGTGGTGAAATAGACAAATGAAATTATATAAACAGTTAAATCGGTAATCTACTGTAATTACATATATAAAGCTCGAGCCTGTGAAATATCAACAAAACATTAGAAAAATAGCTCACACCAAAGCCTTCACCGAATATTCACCGGACAACTTCGCTTCCAAGCTCCATAAAACCTATTTCACTCGCATGTGCTATGGCGCCAGCCCAGCTGTTGAAACCCCTTCAATTACCCCAAAGCTGGGAGAAAGTTAGTGAATCGTTTGAACTCACGATTTCGCCGCATTTTTTTCATCGCGTTATTTTTCAACTTTATAAGTTGAATTTGCATTTTTGATGATTTGTTTCAGTAAGTCCATACCGAAAGGTATCAGAATCTGCAAAGTTGTGTTTTACGTTGCATGTGACCTTTAAAGTTAATGCTTTATCTTGTCACGTTAACATTTGGTTTTGTACCCCATGAGCACTGTCTCAACCTGTAATCTGGGGCATACCTCTATATACCCTGATGATAAATTGCTGGAATTAGGGCGTACGTCCGTGTCTAGACGTTAGTCTAGGTGCATAGTGAGATAGGATTAGATTAAAAAACAAATTTATGATATATTTTTTTTACCTCCGTGGAATCTGTTGGGGTAGATAATCAACAGTGGGTATTCACTGTTTGTTTAGTTCACCTCACTGTCCATCATGTGATGACTCAAAAATCACAATTTTTTAACCTTTTTTGGCTGTCCTATTCAAATATTGGGTTTTTATTTTTCTACCATACCTGTTTTTTATCACCTGCAACACGTTTTGGGTATTAAAGTGGACTTCAACCATCTGTTCGTCCGTGCAAATTCGTCTTTTCCGGGTGCAGAACATAAAATACGATCAATATTTCTTCACCAAACTTGGCATATAAATAGGTCTGGTGGTGAACTGGTGCCTTTTGGTAGTTTTGGATTTCTGATATTTTTGGCGTTTCCATGGCAACAATTTTGACTTTGACTGAAATGTGTTGGTGCTCCTTTTGGTGTTGCGAATTGGTTAAAATCTCATAGTTGATGACTGGTTCATTACAACCGATAAATCAGCAAAAATAGTTTGTTAGTGTCATTTATCAAATTTTCCAGGTTATCTTTGTTAATGCATCAAAAAAAGAGAAACAAACATGTAGTTCTTTCAAGTGTTTTGCAAATTGCACAAAATGCATTTGCAAATTTTACATCTTTAAAGGATGACTAGTATGTTAGGAACATAAATTTCCTGGAGTCTTTAAGATAAATTCAATCATGACTTGGAACAAGCTTGTAGTGCTTATGAAATGTAACAGACAAGACCAACCTTGTGAAATGTTTTGAAAACAAGTGGTCCAAAATTGTTTGTGTTTGATTATGAGAAAACATGATCGATTGCTTGGTCGTTTAGTCATTGCGACCAATCTTCGATTATTTCAATTAATCGGACCACCACTAGCTCCTTTATGGAGCAGAACTTTACAACTGTTTGTTATTTCTTCACCAGACTTGGCACATAGATAGGTCTGATGGTGAACTGGTGCCTTTTGATAGTTTTGGATTTCTGAATAATATAATTTTTGTGTTTCCATGGCAACAATTTTGACTGAAACTGGTGGTAGTGCTCCTTTCCGGAACATAACTTTAAAACATGTCAATACTCTCTTTCCACTTTGTGGGTATCCAAGAACCTAATGACACAGATCAACAGAACCACTCTATATCAACATTACTGAGGTACATCAAACCGTACATTTGACATTCTCATAACTGGTTGAGATATTCATGAAGAGTATTTTACCATTGCGGGAGATATTGATGACTTTGTCCTCTTGTTAATATCACAATGCAGAAGCATTTATTATGTAGATAGTTATTTTTATTGTATGTTCCATTTATTCATTTATTGTGTCTCATAACTATCAATAATTGCGTAGATTGATGCTCATGCTGTTGATCACTGGATTGTCTGGTCCAGGCTCGATTATTAACAGACCACTGCCATATAGCTGGAATATTGCTGAGTGCGGTGTAAAACTAAACCCACTCACTCACTCACTATTTCTATATGTTTGTATACAGGATACTATTCTTATGAGATTCTTATGATGGTCAGAACTCACTCACTCACTATGATGGTCAGACATAAAGACAATATAAAGACAATGTCTGTGGCAATACTTGTGGGATATGAACTGAAAGGTGTGTCGTTTGTTGACATGATTCAGATTGAATGGACTTGATAAGGGAGTGCTGATAGGTGGGATTGAAAGTTTATTGACAACATTGTTTAATAGGTATTACTTTGTCATAAAAAGGGCAGTAAATTTCACAGAATCTTTGGATATCCAGTATAATCCACTGTCCTGCACAGTCCTTGGGTAGAAAATTTACATTTACAAACTTCTATGTAGTCCCTTCATAAATATGGAGAATGTCAAGAGTTTCCTGACAATGTCTGCAGTCAGCATGTCGTCGAATCATAGGTTTTCGGATGACATACGTTTTCGGATGGCAGTGCTCATCTGGGCTGTAACAAGGGGTGTTGTATCACAGGACATTGTCAACTCTTGAATGATGGATTGTATTTAGGATAATGTTATCTATATAAGTTAGTGACATGTTTTATAATTGTTCATACAATAATTGTGACAATAACAGATTTTCTTAAGTGTCTGGGGATGTGGGGTAGCCTAGTGGTTAAAGCATTCACTCGTCACGCTGAAGACCAGGGTTCGATTCCCCAGATGTTTACAATGTGTGAAGCCCATTTCTGGTGTCCCCGACCGTGATGTTGCTGGAATATTGCAGAAAGTGGCATGAAAACCCATCTCACTCATTCACTCACTCTTAAGCGTTCAAAACCCATAACAGGGCCCCGTTCCTCAAAGCGATCGTAGCGCTACGACTATCGTAAGTCTATGTTAAAGTATGGGAGTTACGATCATCTTAGCGCTACGATCGCTTGGAGGAAAGAGGCCCAGGACGATAATGTTGTTCTCACCATCCCATCGATTGAACACAAGGATGACTTGATGAAATGGGACACATCAGTTTACCATGGTTTTCTAGTTTGGGGTCACAGGCTTTAGTTGTTGCGCTCTCAGTTTAAAGAACGCAGGTCCAAAGCTACCAGTTCCCAGAAAAATATCAAACAATGATTTTGCGTTCAGTAAATCCCTCCACCCTGACGCTATGGCACACCTTGATTCAACTGTATCCATTTAGTGCAGTATTTTCTCTCTGTTTCAGGCTGTGAAGGATTACTTCCTCAAGTTCCTGGAGCGCGAACATGTCACCCCCATCCCTCAGTTCATCAGAACCTTCATACGCAAGTCACAGAAAAATGCAAGCTCGATTACAGAGTCCACTCAAGGCTAATCACAAGAACACAATCTATGCACAAGTGTTGTGTTATTGTGGTTGTGTCACCATATCATCCTTATCATCATCATCATCATCATCATCATCATCATCATCATCATCATCACCACCACCACCACCACCACCACCATCATCATCTTCGTCATCACCGCCACCACCACCACCATCATCATGCGTCTTCATTACCATCATCATCAGCACCATTATCTTCATTGTCGTCATCATCATCATCATCATCATCGTCATCGTTATCATCATCAAGCACAACTGCCAATAATATGATCTGTAGTGATACCCTTGATTGAGATGTGCTACCTATCTCTGTAATCACGTCATGAAGATGCTCAGTTCATGGAACATGTTTCGATGTCAAAGAGTAATCACTTTTGCCTCAACTGATGGTTATTTATGAAACTTGGTCAGTTGAACTAATACTGGCAAGGGAACTTACATACTATTGTAAATACATTTTTAATATTTCATGGTATATTTTCATACAAAATATCGCAAACTAGTAATTTTGTTTTCCACTTTCTGAATTATCCCCCCATGATCCTACACTGAAATATTATGAAATCCTTTTATTCCCAGAAATAATATGGAATTCTTTAGTTCCCTGAAGTAATAGGATATCTCTTTATTTCCAGAAAAATAGGGTATCTCTTTATTCCCCAAAATAATAGGGAATCCTTTCATACCATGAAATAACAATGTGTCCTCTGTTCCCTGAAATAATAGGTTTTCCTTCATTCCCTTAAATAGTAGGGTAACCTTATTTTCTCTGAAGTAAAATGGTATCCTTGTATTCTCCGAATTAACATTTCCCTGGAATATGGTGTCATGCGTATGTCATTACATTTGTCATGGCTCTAACTCTTCACTGAATTATCAGAGCCTTTTTAAAAACATCAGCATCTGTTCCTCATAACATTTGACTACTCGTGTGATATATTTCTAATTAGTCTTGGTGTTTTTCTCTCGTTTCATGGCCAATGTTTTTAACCGAGACAGGCAGCACTTTTTCTGAGGAATCCGCTCCAGTGGTCATCATGTAGTACTCCCTATACTCTGCCACCAATTTTTCAAATTCAATTTTTTTCAAAAAGATGCAATTTGGGTTTATTACATGTGTACATTATTATCATTATTATTACTTATGGTAACATCATAGTTTTATCAATTTCCAGAACATACTCCATATTTCATTTGCTGTGTGTCTCTCAACCATTTTTATTGTACAGGATAAGAGCAATCTAACAATTCAGGACCCACACTGTCAGGTTTTGTTGCACATGATATCTTTAGTTTGATAAATCTTGCTTAGAATTGTTGTTTGAAGTCAAACATTGCAAGAATGTTATTGAGTAATTGTTTGTAAAGGTTATAAAAAAAAAAAAAAATTGTGCTTAGCCATAAAATTTGAATGTGGAAAGGCTGAAATATTGAAACACAGCATTGTATTTTAAAAGCCCCCACTGAAATGTGTCATGTGGAAATGTGAAAAGCCATTGCACGTGTGATAACATTAAAATGTCTTATATGGTAACATTGAAGCACCATTGGTCAGGTGGAAACTTTGAAGCACAATAGCACATGTGGATATGTTGGAATATGTTTGTGGAAACACTTAAGCACCATTGTGTATGTGGAAATGTTGGAATATTTCATGTGGAAACATTGAAGCACCATTGGTCATGTGGAAACTTTGAAGCACCATAGCGTATGTGGGTATACAGGAATATGTTTGTGGAAACATGTAAGCACCATTGGAAATGTTGGAATGTGTTATCTGTAAACATTGAAGCACCATTGCATATGTGGAAATATTGAAATATGTGCCATGGGAAACCATCATGCGGAAATACAGAAATGTCACATGGAAACCTTGTTATTTGAAAACGTCAAAATATGTTACCTGTAAATGTGTGGTGTAACAGTGCAGTGTGTCGTGCAGGATAGTGAGTGTGTCATGTCCATTGTTTGTACACCCAACAATAACAGACAGGCGTCATGAATAGTTTGGGGAAGGTTTTGGTAGTCAGGACTGAGCACAGTTTCATAAAAATATCCCTCAAAATATTCATAATTCCGAACTATTCTTGTATATAAGACATTTATTAAATTGTATATAGTCATATCTCCCATGTTAAACAATGTGACTTTTCAGATGAGTATGTTATGACTAAATTCATTGAAGTGTGTTGTTGCTTTATTTGTTTGCTAGTGCTCCAGTAGAGTTTGGTTTGATCTTCACCTGCTAACATCATACAAACATAGAGATGGCAAGAATTAACAGCTCATACTCATGAGTGTGGTCCATCATGCTTGACCACAGTGTATGTACATGGAAGTATGTTGACAGGGAGGTATGTTGACATATGAAGGTATACGGACATGGAAGTATGTTGACAGGGAGGTATGTTGACATATGAAGGTATATGGACATGGAAGTATGTTGACAGGGAGGTATGTTGACATATGAAGGTATACGGACATGGAAGTATGTTGACAGGGAGGTATGTTGACATATGAAGGTATATGGACATGGAAGTATGTTGACAGGGAGGTATGTTGACATATGAAGGTATACGGACATGGAAGTATGTTGACAGGGAGGTATGTTGACATATGAAGGTATACGGACATGGAAGTATGTTGACAGGGAGGTATGTTGACATATGAAGGTATACGGACATGGAAGTATGTTGACAGGGAGGTATGTTGACATATGAAGGTATACGGACATGGAAGTATGTTGACAGGGAGGTATGTTGACATATGAAGGTATACGGACATGGAAGTATGTTGACAGGGAGGTATGTTGACATCCACATATATGGACATTCAAGTATATGGACATAAAGGTATATGGACATGGAAGTATATGGATATGAAGGTATATGGACATAGAAGTATATGGATATGAAGGTATTTGGACATGGAGGTATATGGATATGAAGGTATATGAACATAGAAGTATATTGACATGGAAGTATATGGACATGAAGGTATATGGACATGGAAGTATATGGATATGAAGGTATATGGACGTAGAAGTATATGGACATGAAGGTATATGGACATGAAGGTATATGGATATGATGGTATATGGACATGGAAGTATATGGACATGAAGGTATATGGACATAGAAGTATATGGACATGGAAGTATCTTGACATGTATGTAGATGGACATCCAAGTATGTGGACATGAAGGTATATGAAAATGGATGTATATGGACATAAAGGTATATTGACATGAAAATATATGGACATCAAGGTATATGGACATGTAATTAGCGCTTGGTCTGGAAGTCTGTTGAAGAAATCAGTGCCAGGGTGGTTATTTATAGGAAATATGGTATTTACATAAAGGTATCTGTGCATGAAAGTATATTGACATGAAGTATTTCTTTTTCCAAATACAGTACCTAAGCTGTATATCAGAGACTTGATTATGTGCGGCACATTGAAATATATATGTTCAGAAAACATTTTGAAGAAAACTATCTTAATTTTCTTAATACTTTATATTTATTCATCCCAACTAACCCTAATGGCAGGAATTGCCTTAAACCATGAAGCTGGTTAGCTATTCTCGTAACGTTCATAGCCCTATGAACTTCTTAAGCCCATTTTTAACACATTGGCTACGATCAAAGTTAAGAATTCTTAGGGCTACGAAAGTTTCGAGAATAAGGGCCCTCATGAGCAATAGTGCTGTCTGAATTAAGATTGAAAAATGTTCACTGGGACTTTTTTACCTTTCTGTGAGGGGCAGGTTTGTGTGTTTTTAGTCCATGTGAAATACTTCCTTTAACTCATGTTGAAATTAATTCAAGAGCTTTTGATCTAATTTTGACAATCCATGAAAACATCTTTTAGATTATGGAATTAGTTTGTTCCCCCTTTTGTTAGTACGTGGTTATTCCTGTGCTGTTTTTAGCATCACTAATCTCAATATTTTTATCTTTTCAGAGTCTGTTGATTTTAGAACATGGTTGCAGTGTTGTTTTTAAAAATAGCTGGCTTACGGCATACAAAGCCTTTTATCTCTCATTCATTAGCAGTGGTGTTTCTGTGACAGATACAGGTTCCACGTGAATCTTCAAAACTCTTACGCTGACTTAGTTGAACCATGTCATCGTATCCCATTGGCGTAGATCGATGCTCATGCTGTTGATCACTGGATTGTCTAGTCCAGACTCAGTTATTTACAGACCACCGCGATATAGCTGGAATATTGCTGAGTGCGGCGGGAAACTAAACTCACTCACTCAAAACTCTTTGTATCAGTACAGATCAGCCTTAGTGTAATATGTTTATTAGCTATTCATTCTGGGATCAGCACTTTTCAATTGGCTTTTGAGTGAGAGCATTTCATGTAGAAACATGGCGAGGCTTAATCATTATACTGAATAGGAGGTACCATTAAATGTTCTCTTTAAAATTTACTGTGACATTAAGTTTAAATGTTTGATGTCTAGGATATAATTTTTGTAAGGGACTATCTTTTGATATTCTGGGTGTCTTGTTTTTTTATGTGTAAAAAACCTTTTTCGGGTGTTACTATGGTTACAAAATTTAAATTATTTTTCATTTAATAACACAGATGGACAAAATTTCCAGGCTTCAATGGTAAAGGATTTGTCGGTACAAGCTAAATATTTTGAGATACCACAGAAGTTGTAAGACGTAGGAATTTAGAAGTGACATTTATAGTATGTAATAGTAGTGGACAGTGTTTCTATTTGTTTTGTATATTTTGCAGCATTTCATACATTTGACATTAATTCAAGGCAATCAGCATTTTTACCATATTGATTTTAACATCACTGCACACTTAATTTAGAATAATTTACGTGCTTTATGTCAGTGTCAAAATTACTGATTTGTGGTTTGTGCAATGAGATTGCAATATAATGAAATATTTCGTTCATTTCAGTAATGATACTGATACTGACAGAACCATTCTCTGTGTTCCTGCTTGTGTAATGGTTCGTGGTTTGATGTTTTGTGGTGGTTTGTGAAGTCTTGAGATCAATAACAACACAAAAATAATCAAAATACTACTAATATTGTAGTTAGTGTACATGATATTTATCTTAAGGTCAGACCAATTATATTTCTTGTTTTGCCTATCTGCCTGTCATATTTCTTCAAGAATATGAAAGAAAATAGAAATGAATTTTCCCCGCTCAAAAATAAAATCCAAATGTTAATATGACATAAGTGAAATGTCATATTTCATTGAAATCAGTGCGAAACCTAAATTCACTCAACTTATTTTTAACTGATATAAACAAACGAAAAGAGTAAACATTAGGGGTGTCACGATACACCAATCTCACGATACGATACGTATCACGATTTTAGGTCACGATACGATACGTATCGCGATACATAATTTTCGCGCCTTTTCATAGCATTACCTTACCGGCAACGTACGCGCTCGCTGATTGGTCCATCAAAATAGTCTAGCCAATCACAAAAGCTGTTAGTTTCCAACCTATTTTTTAAGTATAGCTAGCTACATCTATTTATCGGAGCGGTCTCGTATAATTTTACCATCAAGACTTTGAAGGAGATGGATATAGCATAAAAATTTGAATCGATAAAGTTTTAAAATAGGAATCGATACACCCAAGCATGTATCGCGTATCGTATCAGTCAGTAAAAATGTATCGATGCATCGATACATTCGCGTATCGCGACACCCCTAGTAAACATGGAAACTCATTTGGGTTTTTGCTTTGATTTGTGATATATATTTTTTCTTCTTCCCCTCCTGCCTTCAGGATTTCTGAGGACAAAAATCCGTAAAACAAGAAATAAAATTGGTCTGCCCTAAAGAAAAGTTTATAACCAAGATTGTTTAATGAGCATAATCTGTCTTTTCAATTTTATTATTTATTGCAACTGAAAGAAAGTAAGGAAAAGTCAGTTCTTGTCAGTTGTATATAGATATAAATTGTAAATTTATGTAAATTACTCATTTAAAGTTATTTTAATACTGCTTTCATACCTGAAAGGTGACATGTTGTCCCCAGTCCAATTCAGTGTAAAACATGGATGGAGATTTAACTTCTGTGCTGTTTTGCTTTAGAGATTTCCCATTGTATCTTTCAGGGCTGACTTTTGAACCTTTCAGGGAAGTTCCTTGAAACCTGAGTAAAATAATTTTGGGGAAAATGGGAATATTTGATTATTCTTTTTGATAACTTAAAACAAAGCATATTGTCAGAAGTATAAACTGACAATCTTTATGTTTTAGATGACCAGCTTAAGTTCACTGACTTGGTTGACGCATGTTATCGTATCTCACCAAATCCCAGAGTAATCTTTGGAAGGTAAAATGGTCAATTTCAAAGCTCACAGAATTTTGGGTGTGATTTGTGCTGGTAAAAAACTAGAACTACCTGCTGTATGGTTAAGTGTCTTGAACTAATAAGGGGTCAGTACATGTATTTTATGCATAAATACCAGTTATGCATTTGCCGTAAAAATAAGTCAGTACACCAAAGATGTTGAAGATTATTTAATGTGTGGTTTTATTGTTGTAATGGCAGAAGGAATATTTATTAAAATTGATTAAAATTCTTCATTCTGTAGTGTGTGTTTGTGTCTTCTTTTAACATCATGGCATCTTAAACTGGATACAATGATATATAGTGGGCGCGGTGGGCGGGCTGGCTAAGGTGCCAGGCTAGTGATCCAGCGAGGTTGAGGTGTCGGGGGATCGAGCCAACCTGTGACCGGGTGTAAAAACCTTGGAGTCAACTTTGTGTGCAGACTCTCTCAGTGTTGTCACAACCCCTAGTGTACAGTACACATCCCTGTGCACTTAACAGAACCCACGAATCCGTTGGTAAATGTCCAGATGGCGGCCACATGAATACGTGCAAACACCAAGTTGTGGGTACAGCAACGTGAAGTGAACTTGGACAAAGTACTGTGACTATGTGTCCCAGTCCACCCAGCTGTAAATGGGTACCTCGTTAGGATGAGCGCCTAGTGGCTGCAAGAGTTGTATGCTCCCCAGGGAGTTGAGATTGATAACACGATGTGCCGTTGAGACTGACATCCAATGATCGAGGGGGAAAAATACCAGCGCCTTGAGCAAGCACTAGTTGCCTGGATATGTGCGCTATATAAATATCGTATAATAATAAAAGTTGTATCATCATAACCTTATGGTTGGGACTCCACTGTTGTTACGGACAGAAAGTTGTAATGTTGTCTACTTTATGTATAAACAATGACTAATAAAGTTTGTGTTAAAAACTTTTCTTCACCTGAAGTAGAAACAATCCCATGCTTAGGAAATATGAGGAAAGGCTATATGTTCTTCATTTCTGTGAATTTCGCTTATTTATTGAGTGAAGAATGTCTTAAGTTGAGATGCGCCCAGACTGAAGATAGTATTTTAGAATCCTTTTTATTGTCTTGAACTAAATAACTTTGTAATCATATGTACCATTTTGAAATGTGCAACATTAAGTCCTGAATACTGACACCATGAAGAAAAGTAGTTTGTCTCCCAGACTCTACATACAATCTACTAGCCATAAAAAGAGTGAGTGAGTTTAGTTGTACGCTGCACTCAGCAATATTCCAGTTATATGGCGGCGGTCTGTAAATAATCGAGTCTGGACCACGCAATCCAGTGATAACGGCTTGAGCATCGATCTGCGCAATATTGGGAACCGATGACATGTGTCAACCAAGTCAGCGAGCCTGACCACCCTATCCCGTTAGTCGGCTCTTATGACAAGCATGGGTTATTGAAGGTTCATTCTAACCCGGGTTCGATAACAAGAAACTGTGCATATTGGAAATCAAAATATATATTGGAACTACATGTGTACACTAACACAGATGTAAACACAGTTATTGAACTGCATTGAGGATATATGTATGTGGTGTGGTGGGGTTGCCTAGTGGTGACGTGTCCTGGAGAAGAATCATTTTGGGATAGTTCCGTGAGTGAGTTTAGTTTTACGCCCCTTTTAGCAATATTCCAGCAATATCACGGCGGGGGACACCAGAAATGAGCTTCACTCATTGTGCCCATCTGAGGGAATCGAACCCGGATCTTCAGCGTGACGAGCGAACGCCTTAACCACTGGACTACCCCGACCGCCCCGATAGTTCAGTGACGCTTTAGGGTGGAATAAGTGCACGTCAGAGAACCCGTTTAGTTGTTCAGCACAATGTGACAGGTGTGGGCTACAGAGGGTTTTCTTCAACAGCACAATATCTGCCTCGACCTCCATATTCACCGGATCTCCTTTAGTGGGATGAAGTGGAGCGACGTCTACACTGTGTACACAATCCATCAGATAAGGTTCGTGATTTGGCAGCAGAGTTAAGAGAACACAAGCTATTTCACACGCCCTCCATTCCCTGGATGCACTGACGTTATCGCCGTTCACGTTGGTCCTACAGGTTATTGAGAATCAGATTGTGACATTGTTACTCGACCCCTACCCCGCATTTGGACTCGTAACGTTAATAACATGGATATTAAGAGTGCTCCTCTACTTTCTTCATATGACCGCAGTGTCAATCTATTACAGTTTACACGAAACGATTTCGTTGTTATATTTTGAAATTAAGAATGGACAGTTTCTTTTTGTGGCTAGCATATTAAAAAGGAGTCCAACTTAAGTCTAGCACCATTAGGCAAGTCTTAATTGCCCTATAGAAATGAAACATAATATTTTAAAATGCCATAACATAGTCTGGCAATAAATGTCAGACTTAAAACGAACTTCCAAAGTTATTTGTTAATTGTGAATGGGCGTACGTTGTTTTAACAGTTGACGTCACCGATTTATGCCAGAGAGACCAATAGTCATGAATTCGTTGAACCATTGAGGTGATCTAGTCCATAAGATTAACTTGTAGGATGGGCACTTGAGAACTTTGCGCCGTTAACCACTGGATACAGGCTTGGACGGCAGGGATGACGAGTATTATTATAGGATATTTATATAGCGCACATATCAAGGCAACTAGTCCTTGCTCAAGGCGCTGGTATTTTTCGCCTCGATCATTGGATGTCAGTCTCAACGGCACATCGTGTTATCAATCTCAACTCCCCTGGGAGTATACAACTCTTGCAGCCACTAGGCGCACCGAGTTATTGTGGCCTTCTCATCCTAACGAGGTAAACCATTCACAGCTGGGTGGACTGGGACACATAATCACAGTACTTTGTCCAAGTTCACTTCACGTTGCTGTACCCGCAACTGGTGGTGTTTGCATGTATTCATGTATTCATATACCTTAGCCAGCTCGCCCAGCTCGCCCACCGCGCCCCATATATAATATAGCAGTATAGCAGATATCACTGCAGAAAAGCCAGGTTATTGAAACACTTTAACTACATGATAACGACCTCAGAAGAAACGACCTCTGCAAGATGACGGAAATAAGATTTTATTTCAGCATTTCAGGTATTTGTTGGGAAACAGATATTGATCAACTGGAGAAGGAGAATCCACGCAGCTTTTCATTAAACGATTGTACCGAAATGTTCTTTACAGGCATCAGATAGTTTCAGCATCATCCCGTGATAAACAGTGTTAACGTCTGGTGAAACCGATCCAGGTACATCTCATGGTCTTAAAACGTTTGTACCGAGCCTCTGGTGAATCTACTGATTCCAACTAAACAGTAGGGTGTCACAATATATACCTGGGTGTACAGACCTTCTGGAGAATTTACTGATTCCAACTAAACAGTAGGGTGTCACAATATATACCTGGGTGTACAGACCTTCTGGAGAATTTACTGATTCCAAGTAAAAGATAGGGTGTCACAATATATACCTGGGTGTACAGACCTCTGGAGAATCTACTGATTCCAACTAAACAGTAGGGTGTCACAATATATACCTGGGTGTACAGACCTTCTGGAGAATTTACTGATTCCAACTAAACAGTAGGGTGTCACAATATATACCTGGGTGTACAGACCTTCTGGAGAATCTATTGATTCCAACTAAACAGTGGGGTGTCACAATATATACCTGGGTGTACAGACCTTCTGGTGAA